CGAGACCCGTTCTCAGTTGCTCGCTCGCTCGCTCAGCAATGTGCCCGCACGCTCATGTTCCAGTGTGGGATTCTGGTTTGGGCCGCCCGGTGGAATTCAAGGGCTGCTTGGGGCTTGGGGCTTGGGGCTTGGGGGGAGGGTCACTCCCAGCCGCCTGGGGACCAGGAGCCTAAGGCCTCAGCTGAGCCGCCCATAGGCAAGGCCCCACTCAGCGCTGTTTTCTTCGTGAAGCAAGATAGTATTTATTGAAACTTCTTTAGAAAGATGTGGGGGGGGGGGGAAGAAAGATGTGGCGGGAGAGGATGGAGAACTGTGTTTTCAGGAGAGAACACGGGCTGTCCGGCGTGCGAATAAGCAGGCAACGCAACAGAGAGACGCGCTGCAGAGACACACTCAGAGCATGGGCAGCACTTTTCCCCAGCAGCCTTGTGTTTTGTTTTGTTTTGTTTTGTTTTCACCTCCTTCAGGTTCCCTGAATTTTCGTCTCTTTCAATGGCAGAGAGGAGATGCGGCTCAGAGAGGTTAAGGCACTTGGTTTATGTCACACAGCTCACAGATGACGAGGCAGGGGACTTGTGCAGGGAGCTGGGCGCTTCGAGAGTGAAAGTGCAAGTTCCCCTGGGCCCTGGCAAACTCGGAGAGCGACTGCAGGAAAAGAAGGGAGTCCACCCAGAGACAGCACAGCTGGGAGGGGCTGGCCTTGAACGCTCAGGAGCCCCGCCAGGAGTGGCCCCTGAGTGCTTGAGCATCACCAGGCGTGGCCGCTGAACCGACCAAAGAACTAAATAAGAAGTAGCCGTAATGCTCAGAGATACTCACAAGAGCTCCGGAGTGGAGAGAACCCGAAAATGCCCCTCAGCAGGGAAGTGGACAAACTGCCCGAGCCCAGAGGACGCAGCTTCCGGCCAAGGAAAGGCATGCCATTCTCCCGGGGGGGCGGACGGCACGATGAGCTCTGGAGATGCCTTTGGGCTGGCGTGGTTTGGGGGGCCACACCAGGTGGCCTCGGGGCTAGCCCGCTCTGCGGCTCAGGGTCTCTCCCAGTAACGCCTGGGGACCACGCAGTGCTGGGACCAAACCGAGGGCTCAGAGCACTGACCTGGCTCCACCCCAGTTTACGACGAAAGCCTCGGTGCCCTGAGCCCCACCAGGAGTGATCCCTGAGCGCAGAGGCAGGAATAAGCCCTGGACAGAGCTGGGTGTGCCCCAACACCCCCCCCAAAAGGATTATGGGACCGGGAGAAGAAAAACAGATTTAACAACAGTAAAAAGCGGGCCAGAGTGACAGCACAGCGGGGAGGGTGTTTGCCTGGCACGTGGCCAACCCGGTTTTGATCTCCGGCATCCATATAGCTTCCCGAGTACTGCCAGGAATAATTCCTGAGTGCAGAGCCAGGAGTGGCCGCTGAGCATTGCCGGATGTGACCCCGCCCCCCAATAAAGAACAATCCAAAGAATAGCAAACAGAGCAACAGCAGAGGAACGAACTCAAAACCAGGGCAGAGGATGTGACCAGCCGGTTTTCCAGAGAAGGCACTCAGAAAGTTCACAGGGCGCCAAGCCGCACGCCTGAGCACGCCACGTCCAGTGGCCAGAGATGTCCCCCCAGCGTCCTCTCTGCCCAGACACTGGGCCCCTCAGTCATGCCCCAGAGGCCCCACTGTGGTTGAGGGGTGAGTGCAGGGTCGTGTGCCCTGGGGACACTGTGGGGCCCTCTGCTGTCAGTGCTCCTGCTGTTCTGGGGAGTGGGGGGATCCCTACCCAGCGCACCCGCCAGGAGCACTGGAACCCAGGCCTCCCCGCCTGCACCCAAAGCCGCCCAGAAATGCAAGTTGCTGAGAACCCTGGGGCTCTGCTGAGGGGCCTGAAGGGATGGGGGGGCCAGTAACACCCCCCTCCTTGCCCCCAGCCCGCAGCCCCTCATTCCTGGCAACTCTGTGGGCCTCCCGCACTATCTCTTAGATTAGCCCCCAGCTATTTTTGTTCTGCCCTTGCTGGATGGGGCAGAGCCTCAGGCAGGGCCCCAGGGGAGAGACCACCTTAGCCAGGAGAGAAAGCAGAGCGCTCCCCTTCCCTGTCACCCCTGTTGTTCTTCCTGTCCCCCCCCCTCCCACCCTACAAGCAGCCCCGATCCAATATGAGCGACAACATGGTGGGACTGGAAACAGTGTGTCCCCCCCTTCCCAGAACACAGCTGTCCCTTCTGCCTGGGGAAGGGAAGGGACAAGGACCCACCCCCACCCACGTCCAGGGGACGTGGGGGAGAAGTCAGGAGGACAGGGGGACCCGGGGCGTGTAGGGAGAGTTTTGGGAGGTGGTGACTCGGCTCCCTGCCCGCCTGGTGCTCCCCGGGGACCAGCCCGTGCCCCACAGCTCCCTAAGGTGGCTCAGCTCTGTGGCTTGAGAACCAGGCGGGGCCGGGAGGACAGTACAGCGGGGAGGGCGCTTGCTTTGCATGTGGCTCAGCTGGGTTTGATCCCCGGCATCCCAAAGGTCCCAGAAGCGAAGCCTGAGCACAAAGTCAGGAGTAAGCCCCAAGCGCCACCAGGTGTGGCCCAAAAACCAAAGGGAAAATAAAACGAAATGAGAACACATGGGTTCTGTGGGGCACCCCGCTCCGGCGTCACTCTGCCCCTCGGCCGCCCCCAGCCTTGGCTCACCTAAGTCACATCCAGGCCGCTGCCCCATCCCTAAGGCCCAGGCCCACCCACGGCTCTGCTCTCCCACCCCCCAGCGACTCCTCCCGCCTCTCACACTCCCACCCAGCGCCCCCAAACAGACCAGAACTGAAGGTTCTGGCAGTCCTGAACCTCACTCAGACCTGCTCAGATCTGTGCCCCGCCTGTGCCACCAAATGCCGGGGTTCGAGAGGACCCAACCAACAACTGGGTACAGCATCAAGGACAAGTCCCGGGCTGGGCTGGAGCCTGGGTGGGGGCCAAACTTGGGGCGAAGTGCCCCACCGTAGCACCCCCTCAACCACACCAACTCGGCTTGCCGCCTCATGCTGGGTCACCTCAGGAGGCCCCACACTGACCTTCCGGGTCCCCAAGATCCTGCTCCACCCCGAGCCCCCCACACACTTGGTTCCCGACAATGACTGGGGAGATTCACCACGGATCAACTGCCCAGCGCCAAGACTTGGCTTTTTCGCACAAAGCAGATGCTCAGTTAATACTGCCAGGGTAAAGGAGCTCTGCCCTGGGCATTTCTGTTGTGGGCCACACCTGGCCGTGCCCAGGGGCTATTCCGGGGGGTGCTCGGGGTAGTGCCAGGATGGTGCCTGGATGCAGCCGCTGCAGCCCAAAGCAGGGCCAGTACCTTTCCTCCAGAATCTGGCCCCGGGCCCTCTGCTCGATACCGGGCCGCAACCAAGCTTGCCCTACACTCCCAGCAAAGGAACGCTGACGGAATGCTTCCCCCAAGCAACACAGAGAGGGAAGCTTTGGACGCTTATTGACATTTTTGGCTCTCGGCAGGTAAGGAGGAACGGAACGTCTCCCGTTCTGCTGAACTTCACGGACCGACAGCCCTGGGAGCCGCGAGGGAATGAGAACAGCGCCCCCTCCTGGCCGAGTGTGCCCCCGGAGCCCAGAGGGTGGCGGGACCGCCTTATGGGCTTTTCCAGATGAGGCGGCAAGGGGAAGGGTAACCCCGTGACACAGGGAGAATTTTAGGGAGGTGCGCCGCTGACAGGGCACAGGAAGTAGTCAAGAAAAATGCCGGCCAGAGCAGCCCCGCTGACCCCAGCCATCTGCAGCACCGACAGCTGGAATCCCGGGCGTTTCCCAGCGGCGCCTTCTCCTCCGCTCCCGAGGACTAGAAATAAGGCCCAGGGGCGCCGTTTGCACCGAGCATCCCAGCTGTTTAAGGCCGCCAATAAAAAGTGCACGCTCCCCCCCCCCCCTTTTTCTTTCTTCCCTCCCTTTCTGTCTCTCCTGAAGCTAGCCAGCCGGTGGGGGGCAACCCGGCTGCCAGTCTCTCTGGCTTGGTCCCGTGCCCACTGCCACTTATCGCCAACACCGCAACTCCTGATACCCGCTGTGCCAACAGACCTCAACACATTTCCAGGACCCGCCGCCTTCCCAGGGTCCAGGGGTGAGAGCTGCGGCCCCCCGGGAGGCCTGAGAGGAGGGTTCATGGGCAGCTCTGCGTTCTTGGGGTCTCAGCTGGACTCTTGACTTTGCAGGACGAGGACGGGGCCTGGGAGGTACAAGGCGACCGGCCCTTGGTCACGCAGTTGGGAGTTCGAGACCCAAAGTCGGGCAGAGCCTTCCCTCTGCCTCTGTGCGGGCCTGCCCCGGGCTCCGGGCTCCTGCACAGGCTCCCCAACCCCAGCCTGCCCGCCCTGGCGCTGGCCCAGCCTGGCCGTGGCTTATCGCTGGCTTCACTCCCCTGGTTATATTTAGCTCAGAACCACAGAGAGGGAGGCAGGGGCGGGCGAGCGGGCGGCAGCGGAGGGAAAGCGAGGCTGTGTGCCCCCCTCTGGAGCCTGCAGGATCCTCTTGCTCCTGGGGGGGGGCTGTGGCTGCTCCCCCCCCCCGTGCTTATGTGTGTCCACAGGTTGGGTAAGATGCTGTGTGGCGGTTGCTCCGGGATCCCTTTCCGAATGAGCAAATCTGCCAGCTAAGCCCGGGCGGACCCGGGTCTACAATCTTGGCGCAGAAGCTGGCAAGAGGCATGCCAGTTCCCAAGGAAACGACCCAACACGCTTCATTCCGGGAGAGCTCAATCCCTTGGTTCAGTCCCTGGTACCACGAGCCCCCCCCTCCCCCCGAGCACCGCTGGGGTGGCCTTGGCAGGTCCAGCTGGGCCTGAGCATTGAAGCATCCAGCCTAGCTGGCTCAGTGCCACGCGAGTGCTGCCAGAACAACGGAAATAAATAAATAAATAGTCACATTTATTCAAGGAATGAATACGAGTTTCCAACCAGCTCCCACCCCTTCCTGCCACTGCAGTGGGAGAAGCACCCACACGCCCCGTGGCAGCGGGAGAAGCACCCGCACGCCCCAGAGGCGGGCCTGGGCGTCACGTTCTCTGTCCTCTGCTGGCCTTCCATTAGCGGGTCACTAGCAGCTGCCTGGGGCCGTTAGATCCCAACTTCTGAGCACGCAGTGGGCCGCATTCAGGAACGTGGCCCCCCGGACACAGGAGTCGGGCACTCCACAGTCACAGAAAGGGAAAGAGGCGCTTTTTGATGATGTAGAGGACAGTGGCGAGGAAGAGGGCGAGGGCCAGGAAGATGAGCAGCTTGTCGGTCAGTTCCCGGCGGTTGTACTTGGTGATGAGCTTCCGTCCCAACTGAATGGTGCCTGACATGGACTTAAACTCCTCATTGGCATCCAGGATAGTCCGGGAAGAATTGACTGAAACGCAAGAGAGGAGCCTGGCTCAGAGGCGGTGCGGTCCGGGCTGGAGCAGCAGGAAGCGGGGGTGAGGGCACCGTCCTGCCAGAGGAAGGAGGGCCCGGGTGGCACCCTTGGGCTTTGAGGCTCTGCTTCAAGGCTCAAACTCAGAGCCCAAGGCGCGAGGCACAGGCCCTGCCGCTGAGCAAAGTCCCGGGCGGCAGAGTTTGGTGGTCAGACCCTGCCTCCAGGTTGGAGACACCTTCCCGAAGTAAACTTCCCCGATTTTTTGCAGGAGGACCTGGGGGCGGGGAGCTGCGCCCGGGTTGCCAGGGAGACGCAGGGAGAGAGGCAAGAGAGCAGCATGCAGGGCACTGTGAAGTGGCCAAACTGGAACGGGTCACACGGGGTCATGGCAAGGCTCACACTGGGAGGAATCTGCACGGCACACACGGGACAGGGGCTGGGACCCAAAATATAGAAGGAACTCAGACGGCCTGAAGAGTCGCAGAAGACATTTTTAAACAGGCAAAATAACCGAATAAGCATTTCCCCAAGGGAAGCGCACCGCTGGCCCAGACACATGAGGGATGCTCGGAATTATCACTTTTTAGGTTTTCGGACACACGGGCAGCACTCAGGTACTGCTGGCCCCACTGCTGCATTAGCACTCAGCACCCCAGGGAAATGCCGATCCAAACCGTCACCGCACCATTTCACACCATGTGCACGGACAGTGCCGGCTGGAGCGTGTGTGTGGCCCGAGGGCGGAACTCAGGGACTGGAGGGCCTGTGGGCAGGTGCAGGCCTTGCTGGGATCCCAGCTTGGCTCTGGGACCCCCTGCACCCCGCAGCTCGAGCACGGAGCCATCTGCCCGCATGCCGTGCACCCCTACACACAGACAGAAGGTGGCACCTGGATGGCCACGGCCCCGCAGGCCCAGGCGTTGCCGACTCGCTCCATCCCAAGTGCCATTTCCCACCCTTAAGTTCACAGTCGCCAAAACATGGATCCCACCAAGGGCCACGCGAGGAGCCCCACATGGACTGTGGCCACCAGACTCGGCCATGTGAAAGGGCGAGCCTGGGCCTGAGACACAGACTACAAGAGGGCCCTGCCCTACACATGGCCACCCCACATCCATCCCCAGCACCCACAGGGCCCCTGAGCCCTGGCAGGAGGGATCTCTGAGCACAGAGTCAGGAGTCAGTCCTAAGCACCGCCGGGTGGGGCCAAAAACCCTAAAATCAAAAGCAAAAAAGGACCCGGGCCTTTGGGAATCTAACGCCGGCCCCCAAGCACCCAGCTGAGAGGCCAGAGAAGGAGACAGCTGCCAGGTGTGTCATGCAGATGCGGAACTGAACCGCTGGAGAAAGCAACCGGCAGCTGCAAGCCTCGGCGAGACTTGGGGGTTGCCAGCAAGAGGGAGGGGTGTATCTGCGGAGGAGTGGTCTGAATCTTGGTGGTGGGTGCAGGGAGCCCTAAATCCAGTCTCCCAAGAAACCCTGGAATCTTCTAAACCAACGGAAATCAATAGGACAAGGAGGGAGGGGACTAATAAAATATTCCTCGGGGAGGGTACATCTGGCAGTGCTCGGGGGGAGTCCCGGGGGTGGGACCCAGGCAGGTGCCTCTCTGCCGTACTGTCGCTCCAGCCCCAAACAACATTCTTCCAAAGGAACCGGGCGAAAGCACTGAAGTCCCGCTGACCAGCTCGGCAGACACACGAAACTCAGCTGTGGGGCTGAGGACCTCCCCGCAACCTGCTCTGGGGCTCGGCCCGGTGCCGGTGCTCACAGCCGAGCGGGCAGGGTCGCTGCCCACAGCAGCCTCCGGGTAGAGGCCACGGGGAGAGATGGCCCAGGACAACTAGAAGAACCAAACAGAGAAGAAGAGCAGCCTCCACACACGGGGTCCGACAGGCTGTCGCAGAACTGAGCCTGCAGAGAGGATGCACAAGCCAGGAGGGGTGGGGCAGAGGGGCCGCAGGGGAGAGGGCGGGCGGGCGCAGCATTACCCAGGGACTGCACGGCCTCCTCACTCTGCTGCACCTGCTGCGCCATCATCCTGCTGATACCCATGAGGCTCTCGGTGATGGCGCTCGACGACTGCGCCAGGCTCTCCTTGGTGGTCTTCCTGCAAGTGCAGAGGGAGGGGGCCGTTAGCGGCGGTGCTGGGGATGCTGCTCAAGGGAGGGGCTACCTGCGGTGCCTGGCACCATGGTAGCACCTGTGCCCCCCTGGACAGGCTGAGACGGCGCCTGGTGAGGGAATGTTCCAGATGCCGAGGCGCCACGCAAAGGCCTTTTGGAATGACGTGAGAGCAGGGACTGGGAGCCTCAGAAATGCCGGTGCTGGGCGCCAACACTCTCAGCCCGGGACTCTCCAAGGAAAGACCCGGATGCGGCCAAGGCACTCACTGGCTAAACACGGGAGCAGGGGATGTGTGCCAGTGACCAGAGGCTCGGAGAGTCTCCTGGGAGGACGGGAAGCCACCTGGCCATACTCCAGATGGGGAAGTAAAGAGCAGGGGAAGGCACACCATTTTTTTCTGTTGCTGGCTAACCCAGCAGTGCTCAGGGATCACTCCTCACAGAGTCTGGACCCTATGGGGTGCTAGGGATTGAACCCGGGTCAGCTGCACGCAAGGCAAGCGCCCTCCCCGTGGTGTAAGCTCTCCAGCCCCTGAAGTTGCATATGTGAGGTCTGACTCCCACCGGCTGTCATGCTCTTAGTAACCCAGGGCAAGGAAGTGCGCATTTCTTTCAAAGCGAGACATTTTCCCTGCAGGACACTAGAGGCCAACAGAGGAGGTGGGAATGCGAGGGCGGGACCCGGTTCGGGGCGCCCAGAGGAAGGCGGAAGGCGCGGTACCTTTGCCGCAGAAGGTCCCCGCCCTGTAGCAGCTGTGCCTTCTCCAGGTTGTCGATGGCCAGTTTGCAGGTGAGGTTGGCTTTCCGCCATGACGTCTGGTTGCTGGAAACGGAAGAAGGGGGGTGAGCACTGCTGACCCCTGCTCCCCACCAGGGAGCTCAACTCACCGTAGTCCTTCCTTCGGGACGGGGAGGGATGGATGCAAGGCACCCCCACTCCCCAGAAACTGTTCCAGTGCAAACCCTCTCCTCCATACCCCCATGGTCATCACCGGCGGTCCCTTCCTCCCTCCACATCCTGGGGAGCTAAAGGGGGCCATGACCAAGGTCCTAGACTTGGGGGTGACAAAGTCCCCCTAGCATATGAAGTCACTTTTAAAGTTTTTTGTTTGGGGCCATACTGATCAGTGCTCAGGGCTTGCTCCTGGCTCTGTGCTCAATGATATCTCCTGGTGGGACTCAGGGGACCGTACAGGGTGCTGGAGATGGAACTGTGTTGGCCGCCTGAAAGGCAAGAACCCTACCCACTGTCCTATTTCTCTGTTCCCCCCAACTGTTGAGCCCTTAAGCCAGACCCTTTAACAGCGACGATCGTCTGGAATTCCAAGACAACTACCTAGCACAGCTCCGCTGCGTCCCTCTGAGGATTACTGATCCAGAGGGAAGCTGGTGCCTCTGTCCAAGTGACTGGTGAAGAAGGACAGGCAGGGTTCTGGGCAGCCCCGGAAGCAGGGAATCAGCCCCTACCTGAGCATCTGCTTTTTGTGATTCTCCACTTCCTGGAGCAGAAGTTGCTTCTCCGACTCTCTGTCCTGCTCTCGGGCTGACTGTTCAAGCTCCTTGAAGGAAGAGAGTCTCTGTTAAAGCAAGTCTAGCGCTTTCACTTGGGGGTTGGGGGCCACACCCGACTGTGCTCAGGGGCTATTCCTGGTGCTCTGGGATCATTCCTGACAGGGTTTAGGGGACCAGATGTGACCCAAAGCAGAGTCTTTACACCCTGCAGCAAGCAGCAGCCTCAGAACCCACCCAGGACTGGCTGGTCCCTGGCCCCTGCCTGGCACAGCAGCAGGACGCCCCAGTTGGCAGGTCCTCCTCCCGGCTCCACCGGTTCTGGAGGCAGCAAGGAGCACAGTGCCGCTGGAGGAGCACGGTGGGATGTGGCTAGGGAAGCTGAAAGGCAGAGGCAGGGCCGAGTGACGGAAGGAAGCAGAGCTGGGGGTCTGGGGGGGGACTATGCGACAGACAGAGAGGAACGTGGGTGACTTGGAGCTTTCAGGGTAAGGAGCCCAGGACAAGGGTGTCCTGCCAGCAGTGGTTTTCCTGCCCGCCCGCAGGGCTCTTCCTGACCTGGAGAGCTGAAACCCGGCTCAGCCGGCGAGAAACCCGGCCAGCTCTCAGGCTGGCCCCTTCTCCGCTCCCGTCCACAGTATCTCACCTGGATCCTGTGGCGCAGCTGCTGGAACTTCTCTTTCACTTTCGTGTTGAGCTCGGTCAGCGCGCTCAAGGGTCCCGAACAGTCTCGGATGTCCTAGGAGGCAGGGAAGGGAAGAGGGGGCATTGCTCAAGGCTCAGAGCCGGGCTCACCCCGACCCCTAGACTGGGGCCAACAAGATCTGGGCATCAGGGAAAGACGCTGGAACTCTGGATCACGAGGATGCTGCATGCTCGGCAGGGAATGGGCAGATCGACTTTCCCCACCCGACCGTTTCCCCAAGCAGGAACCGCAGTTCTTAGAGCCAAGCTAAAGGAGAGCTTCTGGGCCGTGCCAGCGGTGCCCAGAGGCTACTCCCGGCTCTGCACTCAGGAATCCTCCCGGCGTGCTTGGGACGCCAGGGAGGGAACCCCGGTGGGCTGCGTGCGAGGCAGCGCCCTCCCCGCCGCACTGTCGCCCCGGGCCCCCAGGGTCGGTCTCGGGGTCTGTTTCTGGACCCGAGAGAGGCGCAGGGGCTAAGAGGCTTGCCTCGCATGCGGGATGCCCCCCACCCCGGGATGGACCTCAGCCGCCGGGTCTCCCGAGCACCGCCAGGATGTGTCGGCCTGCCCCCCCCCCCCGCCCAAAGAGGGAGTTTCTAGCGGGGACAGTGACAGGAGGCAGGTCTCGGAGGGGCCTCTGGGGCGAGGCCACGAGGACTCAAGGCTCGGGCGGAGCAAGGGGCCGTTCCCTGGCCCTCCCGGAGCCCGCGGGCAGGACCCCCGAGCACTGAGCGCGGAGTCCGCGCCGAGCACCGCCGGGCGGCGAGGGGCGGCGGCGCAGCGCGGGCACCCGCCTGAGCCGCCCCGCTCGGGCCGGCCACGCGGCCGAGGGCGAGTACCTGGATGAGCGCCTTCACCTCCAGGTCGAACTTCACGATCTCCTGGTTACAGATTCGGACGTGGACGTCCTGGGCGGCCGCCATGTTGGAGCGCCGGCTACGGGGCGCGGCGGGGGCCAAGGGCAAACGCGTTTCGGCGCCGGCGCCTTTCCTTCCCGACGCCTGCCTGGAGCGGCGCCCCCTAGAGGCCAGCGGAGAGGAGCGCGGCGGCGCCTGGGAGAGGAAAAGGCCCCCCCACCCCCCACTTCGGCACCTTCCCCCTTCAGCCATCCTAACAGTAACATTCTTCCCCCACCACGGTGGAGAGGAGAGGAGAGAGGAAGAATCAATGGGGAGGTCCTGAAAGGAAGTGGAATTATCTGTTTCTGTTTAAACTTTCTTGTATTGTTCATATGACTATAAATTGTGCAGAAAAAGTAGACTTTTCTAAGTCATTTACAATTGATTTTTTTTTTTTTTGCTTTTTTGGGTCACGCCCAGCGGGCGATGCTCAGGGGTTACTCCTGGCTCTACACTCAGGAATTAAGAACCACCTGGTGGTGCTCAGGGGACCATATGGGATGCTGGGATTTGAACCTGGGTCAGCCTCGTGCAAGGCAAACGCCCTACCCGCTGTGCTATCGCTCCAGCCCCAACAATTGATTTTTTTGGGGGGGTGATTTTTTGGTTTTTGAGCCACACCAGGTGGTTCTTAAGGCTTATTTCTGAGTCTGTGCTCCTGGTGAGGATTGGGGGGGCCAGGAATGATACCCAGGTCGGCTGTGTGCAAAAGCCATACCTGCTGGACTGTATCAGAAGTCCCCTATATTTACTTTTTAAGATATATCATGGCTAAGGGATCTTAATAAAAGAGTGATTTTGGTGGATTAATAGGTGTGATGGAAATAATGGTGATGGTAGAAGCCAACCTCCAACAAACAGTAAGTCATTTAAGTTTTCTAGTTCGGTTTCTTGGCAGGTCCTCTGGGTCACGAGCCACCCCCATCTGTCCCTGCTCCTTTCCGGATCCCTCCAGCACTTTTTTGCCTCTGCAGCTTTGGACTGTGCTGTTCCCTCTTCTAAAATGCTTTTCCCTTCAGGTCCCACCCTGTTCACCTGAGCAAGGTGGACTAGAAGGTCCCAACTGCCAAACTCCATTTGTCCCTTAATTCTCATGTCCACCCCTGAAATAGATAATAATCCAGTTTGGGTTTTCTGGGGTTTGGGGCCACTCCTGGTGGTGCTCAGGAATCACTCCTAGGGATTAAACTCGGCTCAGCTCTGTGCAAAGTGCCCTACCCAGTGCGCTCTCTCTCTGACCCAATAGTTCAGTTTTACAAACAGGGAGGTGGATTGAGAGCAGAGAAAAACAAAATCAAACATCACTGCCCCCGGGTTCCCACCTTGAACATGGCAGTGCCTGCGCCGAGACCACGTGTGGCTCCCCACCCCCCCAATTGAAGAGTGTCACAGGAGCCAAACTGACCTTGCCCACTTGTTCCTCCAGCTCTCCACAGCACCTACAGGAGAGGCGGCCTGTTGCAGGGGTGGCAGGTGATGCTCTGGCTCAGATTCTGCTGAAGCATCCTCATCACACTCCTAGCCCACTCCCAGTGACCACTGCCAACTGTCTTGCTTCCACTGCCTTTACCCAGGGCTCCAGAGACTGGCTTTCGGCTACAACGGTTGCTAGATCTGGCCTTTTCTGATCTTGAGATTCTAAACACCCATCATTTCCCTGCTCCTTCCTACACAGATGCCAATGTGTTACCAGTAATTGGGCCAGTTCCTTGGGGACGAGGATGACCAACTTGAATGCAGACACCAACTGGAGCTCTCGAGCTCCTAAACTGGGTACAAGGTGGGTCCCCCTCACGTAAGGCCAACCCGACTCTGTGAACTGGACATGGGCACCCACCTCAGGGGATTACTGAAAGCATCAACTGAGTTCCCTGCCTGGAAAGCACCCAACAAGCACTTACTGGATGCCTGGCCTTCTAGAACTTTCTAACCCGGTCTTACTAGTGTGAACCTTCCTGAGATATTAAAATGAAGTTATTTCCCAATTTCCCAACTTATCCTTTCTAACTACAGCATGCTCCTGGTTAGCTAGACAAGTGAATGACCTGCCCAGCTGGTGCTAACCTCAGATGGTTCCACTCCTTCAGGACCATACTGACCTGGTTCGTTCACACCTTCAAGCTCCTGGCCCAGGAGAGGCTCTTGTGAGGAGGGCAAGTCCATGGATGGCCATGTCCACTCTGCTTCCGGCAGCTGCAGTGTCAGGCAAAAGGAGCGAAAGGAGCTCCTCTTCAGGGGTCCCGGACGACACAGAGACCAACCTATGACTTCTCTAGCACACCTCACTGGGTGTGGCACCTTCATCCTTGCAGATACGTGGGCAGTCGTGTCCAGAGCCCATGCATCGCTCTTTCGAGGTCCTGCAATCCTAGGCACAGTCGCCTCCACCGCACCCCCGCCCCCAAGAACTGTGTTCCCGTAAGACCCTGATCTCCCAGGGTGAGGCTTGGCAGCACAGGTACAGCCATCTTCATTGGCTGAAGCACCACGCTGCTTCAGCGCTGTTCACCTGAGTCCGCTGACATACCTGGCTCAGAGGCCTGCTTACAGTTATTCCATAAGCGGGGCCGGAGCTGTAGCACAGCGGGGAGGGCATCTGCCTTGCACGCAGCTGACCCAGGATCGATCCCCGGCATCCCATTTGGTCCCAAGTACCGCCGGGATAATACCTGAGAGCAGAGCCAGGAGTTACCCCCGAACATTGCCAGGTGTGACTCAAAAAGCCAAAAAAATTAAAATAGAATTACTCCATAAGTACATACAAATGGCTGAGCTGGACGAACTCCAAATACCTGATTTCCCTCACAGAGATCAACTGCACGGAGAAACAGAGGAGAAATAAGTAGAAACAAAATTATGCTCTGCATTGTGAAAAATGTTTTAACAAATAACTACCTTATAACTAAATGTGACTATGCTATTAAAAATTCAGCCCAAAGCATTAAAAAAGATGACAAGTTTGGAATTCCTTTGCAGTGGGTTATGCTGAAGAGAATATATGTGGATGGTTACCTCTGTAAACCACAGAGAAAGGAAGGCAAAAAACACAAGGCAAACGATGCAAAAGCTTTTCATTTTTTTATTTTAAATTACAAAGGATGTTGCATACACTGATGAATCTGTATCTGACTAGAAGTGCTGAGCGGTTGGAAGGTGACAGAAAACAAAGGCAACATCTGATATGCCTTTTCTTCTGAAAAGAAAACTGCACAACTATTAACCAACATTTAATAGAATAATTTTTAAACAGCTCATGCGTCAACAAGATAAAATTCTTTCTAGACAAAAGACAAGACTGAATCCAAGAAAAGGGCTCATAGCTCCAGTATGGGGAGGGAACAAAACTACAGAATATTTATGAGAGTATTACAAATAGGATCCTACGCGACTATGCAAATGAAGCTGTGACATTGTGTGAACAGATGCTTTGAATTCTTGCCCTTCTACGCTTTTCACTTCTTATGTGTGGTCAGCCCTGGTGTTTCACCACAAGTGCTGAGTTATAGGATGAATCGGAGGAAACGAAGGTTAAAAAAAAAGCAGGCAGTGGAATACAGTGTCATAAAAATGGGGTGGAAAGGCAGATACAGTACACACACACACACACACACACACACACACACACACACAGATTTCTATTATTTGGTTCTGAAAAAAAAAAAAAAGACCCCGGGTGACAGGCAAGACAGTATCAGTGCTGCTGCCTGCCATCCCGGACTGAATGGACTACACCACTGTGTTTACACTGCTGAGAAAGAGGCAAACTGGGTCCCCCCAAACTTGGCACACTGAAATACCCAACTCTCAAGTTCTCACCAGCCGCCAAGTCTTCAATCCCAAGAGTAGGTTTAAGGTTCTGTTCGCCTCTGACTACCCCAGATCTCTCTTTCCTAAACAAAAGTGGCAATTTGGCATAATTCAGTTCTGTGATGGAATTTCTGCCATTTTAGTCAATTTACTGGCACGAGGATTATGCTTCAACACATAATCCCACTTGCCTATGAAGTGTGAAACTCTCAGTAGTACATTTTAATCATCTTTCCTCACATGCTTATATTCCTAAAACGAAACAACCATTCCTACAGTTGACATTCACTGTTACATCCCATTTTGTTTGAAATATTAAAAAAACACGGAGTCATCTTCTCATAATGCCCTTGTTAAGATTACAAAGATTACAAAAGAATCCAGAAGTATTACGGCACTGTGTGAGACTTATATATCGTGATCCAAGGGAAGAACAAGACTGCAGGACTGTGCAAAGTTGTGGAAATGGCCTCGGTTCCATGGGAAATGGTATTCCACAACAGACTTCACTAGAAGAACAGTTGAAACCTCTTAACACTGAAAGAAGGATTCAATGCATTCCCAAAATTCAAGTTTCAAGATTCGGAGAGATGCTAACATTCTGTTACATAATCAACTAGAAAATACTTAAACAGAACTTTAGAAAGACTCTAGAAAGAAAGGGAACATAAAGTTTTGTCAATTCCTGCTGAAGGCAACTTGAATTCATTTCTTAGAAAGGTAACTAAATCGTAGCAGCTAAAATAATTTTAAACATGTGGAATAAAAAAAAAGCACATCCATCCTTGACGTTTTGGTGAATAAACTAACAGCTTTATTAATGAAGGCAAACATCAGGTAATTGTATGAATATTATATATAAAAAAAGAAATCCAAACAGCATTGTATTTCAAAAGTACTATACTTCTGTTTCTTTTTAAAGAGACTTATCATCTGTTTTATAAAACAAACAAAATGGGGACTGTTCTCCTAAAAAATCCTGGAAAAACGAAATAGTCAATTTCAAACAGATGAAATGAACACACCTTTCTTTAAATGCAGACCATTGCGAGGAGCAAATCAAGTCAAGCATCAGAAGGAAGATGTATGCTAGTGCAGAAATGGGGGCAGAGCGAGAGTTCTGTTCTTCCTCCCCCTCAGAGTCAAAGACCACTCAAACTGGTCTTCCATACAAATATAAAATAGCTCTAAAGAAGGGGAATTGGAAACCATGCCCACCTGAAATCCTTCATGATGGTTTTATAATAGCTCTGATTCTCTTACCAGAAAGGTCAAAAGGGAAAGATTTAGCAAGTGGAAGGGAATGACGACGTTTCGTTTTAAATGTACAAGTAAGGCACAATATAAAGCCACATCATAATCTGTCATGAAGGATATAGGGAAGGACAAGAATCATACATGGTACAGGAGAACAAAGCAATCGTATGGACTGAGAAAGTGTGGCACCCAATTCAAAACTCAGACACGATTTTAGCAAGAACAACTGGACAGCATGCTTTCATACGCAGACAAACGCGGTAAAGAATCCAGTGTGTCTGAAACGAGGAAGAACTTTTTTGTCTTTTTTATTTTTATTTTTTGTCGTAGTAGTGGTAGGGTCAAAGTTTATCACTGTTTTGGAACCATGGGCTTAGTCGAGGTGAATTCACAATGCCTTCGCTTTGAGTAAGACTCTGGACCTCATGATGAACCCTCTGTGTACCATGTATGAACACACAGAACTTGGAGAGAATTCTTCCCTCATGGTTTTCACCCGGAAATACATGCCACAATTTTCAAAAACAGAACATGTACACTGGCTGGGGTTTGTCCGTCACCCTTGTAAGATCTGTTTGTGTGATACACAACACGTATACATTTTAATGACAACAGAGGAAGCAGATTATTACTGGCATCAAAGTACAACCACGTCTAGACGGTTTCGAAATGCCACAGAGTCCCCTGGTTAAAACGTAAAGCTGCACAGCTTGCCTACGTCATCTTTAGGACCGAGTCCAACAGCAAGAGGGTGTCACCTGCACTCTACATTTGACTGCCAGGGTTTATGGAGATCAAGTATCGCTGCAGCATTCTCACCAGCCCAGATTTAGCAGCAAATGGCAGGAATCATATAAAATGCTCGTTTTTTTGTTGTTTTTTTTTAACAAAGTGCTCTTCTAAGATATACATACATATATAAATAGGTACAAAATAAAGTGTCAACATTAAAAAGCTCAACTATTGAAAAGCTTTTGACTATTTAACTTAAGTAGTACTTATAAAACACTGAAATGCAAGGATAGGGAATCTACGAAACGATTCAAAGTCTTATATTTTGAAATGCAAGACCCCAAAATCAAATTCTGGTTTGCAGACAGGAAAAAAGTATCAAAACCAGAATTTCTAACGGAGCAGCTACAAAGGGGCAATTTTATAAACCTCATCAGCTGAATCTCTATCATAAAGTGATTTTCACCTGACTGCAAAACTGCCGTTATTTTGGAATATGATTCTGTTTACCAGACACGCCCTGGTAAGCCTTCACCTACCCCAAGCAGAAACCTGTGCTTTGCCTTCGCCCTCCCAAAGTGGGAACAGCTTTCTACCATGCACTGCATTCCATGAACCCGGCCCGTCGGGCTCACTGCCCAGTCAGCGGGAAAGCAAAAACCCCTCGGTCTCACCAAGCGCACAGGCAACCCGAGTGCATTACTGTTCAGCTGCGATGCTGAGACAATCCTTCCCTAGTTTCTGTCTCACGATGTCAAAGAACAGACAAGCAACACCGGAGAGTCCTCACTGTGTGTTTTAGAATGAAGCCTCTGTTAACTCTCTAAGCTGTAAGCAACACAAAATGGGAGCGGGGCGGGGAATGTGAAAGAAAAGGGGACACGCTTCGGAGACAAACAGGAAAAGACTGGGATCTCCAAGGGGCAGGGGAAAGAGAAAGAGTCGGAGAAACAGATCCTTTCCCAGCAGCTAAGTTGGAAGTTTTTGGTTTTTTCACTTCTGGCTAGACAGGAGTTTTCTCTCTTAACTGTATCTTTGAAGCCAACAATTTTCAGAGTTCAAAGTACAAGATTCGAGAACAGTCAGGGAGACGGGATGAAGAGTCTGTGAGGAAGGTTTATAACGCTGCCGGGACACAAGACACGTCTCGTCAAGAGGTAAAGCTGTGACACAGGTACAACACTGGCTAGGGAAGCCGCTGCATGGGAGCCCAAAGAGCACCTAGAACTAAGTGTTAATATTTCTCGGTTCTAGAAACTATAGAAGTCACACGTAAGTCTGAAGAAGCTCGTCTGAAAATACCTGTACAAAAATATAAAAATCTATAAATTGTTTTAAGCTTGTGTTGATCTTCGAAAATATTACATGCACGATAATACGTCAATTGGAAAAGTGGCAACTAAAGAATTTGATTATTTTTAGCTTTTCGCCTTTCTTTACATATATATACATAATACAATAAAAATAATCTGTATTTTGGTTGTTTGGAGGACGCATACTACATGAAACTAAATAAACTCTTAAAATTTTCAAGGTCAAAAACTATTTTACCAATAGCTTACTAAAATGAAATATATTAAAATTTCCTACAATATGTGCAGAAAGAAAAGGGCTTACAGACACCTACACGGCCACCAAGTTATCTACTATGGAAGCAAACTAGAGGAACAGCAAAGTAATATGTATGTGTGGATGCTCCTTCTGTAGATAATTGGACCCAAACAGAAATAAAATTCACAGTTCAGTAAGATCCCTAACCCTGACCTTTCTTCTGTTTTCTCCTTTTGTTTCATACATTCATACAGTATCATGTAAGCTGTGCAAAACTTTACTTAGACTGGCAGTTTGCCATATCAGTTGCATTTATCTTTGGTACAAAAAATAAAACAATCACAATAATGTGCAAGTATTTGTCTTCTTCCGGTCAAATACCGAAATAGGAGTTTTCTAGAGCCATCTTTTTTTGTGGTTTTTTGTTTTGTTTTTTTTATACAATACACAGACTCTGTGGCATGTATCTACATTTCAACGTAGTTCTATATACATTCAAAAAATTTGAAAAAGAGTTGGAACAAAAAACGTTTAAACCCCGTAATTTTTCCATCGGTAGATCTTGTTTGTCCCATTAGGGTTTTCATCATACAAAATATTACCAGTTTTTATAGTTTTCCCCAAAATACAAGGCACAAAGAATATGCTTTTTTTCTTACTTGCACAGACATTACATATATATTTTTATATGTATTTATATATACCATATTGAGCTCGGAAAATGAACATCTAATATGGCACATGAGTGCTGGGTTGGGCCATATACAAGTGAGATTAATGGTTGTGGAAAATCAGAACAAAAAGCCGGAATTCTAAAAACAATCTAAAATGACTGTTTAAAAAATGCTTCCTCAATTTTGTGTGTGTGGTTCAGAGCATAAACCTACCACAGTATTTGGCATGTGCGACCGTCTGCTCTCGGCCCAAATGTTTTGCTCTCACAGACTCTTTGTGATCTGTACCTAAATGTTTACCGAAGCGCGTCGGTTTCCATTCTGATTCCAGCAGCCCTTTCTCAGCAAGGTTTATGCTCTGAGAATGTGATAATCAAGTATTTTGGACCATGCTCCACTTATGCTACTTAGTTCTTAAAACAATGTAACCTAATTGTAAATGTTTACATAATGCTAAACTGACATGCAGAACAGAATGGAAATTTACAGTGACCAACTGGAGGAACACAGACAGCTCTGACGGGTCCAGTTACACCTTGGAGCTCGGCATCCTCAGCCCCACCAGGCCCCCGGTGGGGTTGCCCTCCGCAGTCTTCTCCAACACCTGGTTAACGAACTCTGAGGTTTGCCCAGCCACGGGGAGACCTGAGGAGAACAAAAGGCAATCTCAGGGACAGAAGGAGAGTGTGTCTGGGGATGGTTCTGGGGCGAGGGCGAGTGGAGTCAAAAACAGTTTAATGGGGAAAAAAACCCCAGCAACCTGTAATGCATACTAGAAATAAAAGAGGGCGGCCCTTCCCAGTTCCAGGCCTGGAACTGCACTAAGGGTCCCCTGAGCACCGCCAAGAGTGACCCTGAGCAGCCGGCAGTAAGGCCTGAGCACAGCTGGGTACAACCCCCCAAACCCAAACAAATTAAAAAGAAATAAAAGAAGGGCTGGAGAGATAGCATAGTGGGTAGGGCATTTGCCTTGAATATGGCCAATCTGGGTTCAACTCCCTGAACCCCAAAGAGTCTGAACAGGAGGACTCCCTGAGCACAGAGCTGTGCACCTTTGGGTGTGGCCCATAATATACCAAAGGGAAGAAAAGAAAAAGAAAAGATCACAACAGAAATAAGAAATGAAAATGCAGCATTGTCATGGAAACGAAAAAAATTAAAACGGACAATTTTAATAAATTTGATGACCTGCAGGAAATTAACAATATCTTTTGAAATACATTCAAGCATTGAAACCAAGTTCAGAAGAGTTATCTTCTCTTATTGTCTTTCATTTATATTTTAGGTTTTGGGGTCACACCTGCCAATGTTAAGGGGTTGCTCCTAGCTCTGCACTCAGGAATTACTCCTGGAATGCTCAGGAGTATGGGATGCTGGGGATCAAATCCAGGTTGGCTATATGTCCAAGGCCAAAGTCCTCCCCACTGTACTATCGTTCTAGCCCCTCTGTTGTGTGTGTGTGTGTGTGTGTGTGTGTGTGTGTGTGTTCGGGGGCTCCAACCAGCTAGGCTTGGAGTTTACTGCTGGCTCTGTGATCAAGAATCTCTCCTGGCGGGAGTTCAGGCACCAAATATATGTTGGGAATTGAACCCACATCAACTGCACACGAGGCCAATGCCTTACCCACTTAAACGCTGTTCTATCTCTCCACCCTCCAGATGAGGTTTTGTTTTGGGGGGCCACACCCAGCACTGCTTGGGGGAGCCATATGAAGTGCTGATATCGGAACCAGGGTCTATCAAGTATAAGGCAAGAGCCTTAAATCCCTGCACAATCTCTTCAGCCTCTGGTTCAGAGTTCAAGAGTATTCTACCAAACTTTTAAGTGGGGGGGGGGGGGGGGCTCCCAACATATTTTAAATGCTCCAGATGGGGATTTTGGGAAGAAACCTGTGTGACCTGTGTGGCACCAGAGATTTTAATTCTTGAGTTCCCTACAAAAACTGCAATTAAAAGAGCAAAATCAAATCACAAACCCCCCAAATTTAAGAGAGTGGGGAAAATCTATCGCAAGCTGTAAGGTATGCATACCATTAAACAAATGTTACCAATATTAGCAGAGGATGAGTCAACAGAGAAGTAATGTATCTGTGAAAAAAGAAGTATAGAATAACTGGAGGCTGCTCACTGGGGCACAGGAACCAGCTGGGAAGGGCTGGAGCTGGGAGTCTCTGTCCAGCCCCAGGGAGCTTGACGGGCGTGCAGGGCGAGTGCACCCAGCCTCGGGGAAGTCAGAAAAGCAACCACGGGAATTCCCTGGCAGAAAGAACCAGCATTGATAAGAATCAAAACTAAGCAAGACGGGGACCAAAAAAAAAAAAAAAAACAAACCCAAATCAGAACAACAAATAACAATGATGGTGTGTGGGGCTGGAGTAGGGCACCGCCAGGGATAATTCCTGCGTGCATGAGCCAGGAGTAACACACCCCCGGGTGTGACCCCCAAAAATGCCCGTTTAAGAAACCTCAGTAGGGGGCTGGAGTGATAGTACAGTGGACAGGACGTTTTCCTTGCACGTGGCCAACCCGGGTTCGATTCCCAGCATCCCATATGGTCTCCCGAGCATCGCCAGGAGTAATTCCTGAGTGCAAAGCCAGGAGTAACCTCTGTGCATCACCGGGTGTGACCCAAAAAGAAAAAAAAAACCTCAGGAGACAAACAGCCACATGGTCTGAGCAGAGAGTCTAGCACGACCCAGTCCTCTTCCTTCGCCAGCTGGAGGCGACAGGAGGCGCCATGTCAAGGCACTCTCAAGGGCTTCCTTTGTTCTCTCTGTTTCCCGCCTGTCCCTCACAACCAGTGTGCTGAGCCCTTCTCACAGTGCTCCCTTCGTGGGAAATGCCTCCACCTCCACGGAGCCAAGCCTTGTCTCTCTAGGACAAACTTCCTCTCCTGTGTCCTTTTCTGTGGCCAATATGGTCCTCTGAGTAATGCTAGGAGAGACACCTGAGCACAGCCACGAGTAAGCTCTGAGCACTGCCAGATGTGGCCCCAAAGCCAACCCAAAACAAACAAAAGATAATTTTTTAAAAAGTTCTCATTGTGGGGCCAGAATGATAGCATAGCAGCTTGAGCATTTGCCGTGCACGCGGCCGACCTGGGTTCAATCCCTGGCATCCCGTATGGGCCTCCGAGCACCACCAAGAGGGATTCCTGAGTGCAGAACCAGGAGAAACCCCTGGGTGTGACCCAAACAGCCAAAGAAACAAAAAAGTTATCATAAGGGAAAAATAAGCAACTAAGCATGATGACAGGTGTTAACCAAGCTTACTGTAGTTATCATTTTCATTGTATAAATAATATTATGTTGTACATCTGAAATGATGCAATGATGTTTATCAAAAAAAAAAAAAAAGAAAGAAAACTAGGAAATTTGTCCTAAACCAAACTTTCTTGTCTTTTGGAGGGGCTTCCTAAGTGGTACTTGTGAAACTGAGGGCCACTCCCGAGATGCCTGATCTGGCTATGCTCACAGTTTATTGCTCAGGCCCTGCTAAACTGTGCTGCTCAGGTTCAACAGTACTTAGGACCACTGAGGCCACACTGCAGGGTGCTTGGAAGCTACCAAAGCTACAAGTGGGGGTGCTCCTGAGGCACCGGTGCCAGGGATCAAACTTGGGGTCTCACATATACACATCACAGACTCCAGTTCCTCTTTTACTTTGAATTTAAGTAGATATATAGTTTTGCTTGGGGCCAGGGATATAGCACAGGGATTAAGGCGCCTGCCTTTCATGCACCAACCACATTGGATTCCCGGCACTGACTGTGGCTTTCCACACACCACCAGGAGTGATTCCTGAGCACAGAACCAGGAGTAAGCCCTGAGCATAGCTCCATGTGGCACAAAAAAGTATACACTTCTGACCACTCACTGTATTGACGATTTGTACAAATACCTATTCTAGTATTACTTCGCTTCTTTTTTGTTGTTTTTGGCTTTTTTTGGTTTTGGCCTTACTCTTGGTTCTGCACTCAGGAACTACTCCTGGTAATGCTCATGGGATCATATGGGATGTAAGGGCTCAAACCCAGGACAGCTGCACGCAAGGCAAGTGTTTTACCCATTATACGATTGCTCCTGTCCCTTCCTCATTTTTTATGTACTTATGTGGGCACTGGAGCAAGGAGAACGTACTTCTACTTCTGCCACTCACTGGGGATATGACTTGTGGTGTGGTACGTTCCAATAAATCCAGGATGGCACCACTTCCTTCAGAGAATTGTGGGAGTAAAACAACTGAACAACCTTAACAAACAGCTCTGGGTCACATTTAAAAACATGTTAACTGTGTATGGTTTCCTAACACCTAGAAATTCCCTTTTGTCGGGCTCTGAATCTCTGCTGACTGCTTAATCTCTTCTTTGTCCTTCTAGCACAAGAGTTGTCAAACTTCAGGCAGCACTCTTGCCTTGAACTCAGCTAACTCCTGATGGGTCTCCAGGCCCTGGAAGTGTCCCCAGCCCCACTAGCAGTGGTCCCTGAGCTCAAAGCCAGGAGTGAGCCCTGGGCATTGCTGGGTGTGACCTCCAGAACCAAAATGAAACAAAAGAGTTGTCGAATTTCATGAAACTGAGTCAAAATCCAGAGGCTGGAGAGAGAGCTAAGTAGATACAGCTCTTACCTTGCAGGAAGCTGGCCCAGGTTCAATCCCGGGCACCACATATAATCCCCTGAGCAGTAACAGGCACCACTGGGAGTAGTCCAAATGTCCCCCAACCCAAATTTAAATTTATTTCTGATTTTACTAATGATTCCAAATTGTCCTTCAAAATCATTAGCATGTTTTCCATTCAATATGAACAAAAATCTGACAAGAGAAACTAAATGAGTAACCTCAAAGAGCATGACATACTAAATGCATAGACGCTTTCAATATATGCTTATTGAAATACAATCTTTTTGGTAGTCTGAGATGTATTTCTGCAAACAGAGAGGCAGATAGTGTTGTTCACCACACTCCATCCAGGCATCCTGATTTCTTCATACCTTTTTACCACCATTTGTTCCTCTTGTGTTTCTATTTGGTCTTTGTCTTCCACTTTTTAGACTACAGGCTTTCTAAAAATAGTGACTAAGTTTTTGTTATTCCTAGAGCCCCCAACACCAGGCAAGTAAGAGGCACTGAAGAGAGCTTTGTGGAAGCCAGAGAGATAGTACAGTGGGTAGGGTCCTTCCTTGCATGAGGCCACCCAGATTTCCCTGGCACCCCATATGGTTCCCCGAGCACCACCAGAAGCGATTCCTGAGAGCAGAGCCAAGAGTAGCCCCTGGGCATCACCAGGCCCCAAAACCAAAATCCAAAACAAGGAGAGGTTTGTGGGATGAAACAGTAAATGCAAGTTAGAAGAATGGTCTTAGCATAAGCAATTCCAATATATCTATAGATAAAATAGAATAGGGCCAGGAGATGCCTCAAAGTCTAAGGAAACTGTCTTGCAAACAGGAGGCCAAACAGGAGGTTTGATGCTTGGGGCTGCCTCACTTGCTGACTGATACCCCAGCAGCTCTGCTGTCTGAGATGCCAGCACCAGAGGCGACTCCCGGCCCTGCTGCTGGAGCCCAGTGTGTGTGCGCACCACGGCCCAGTCTGGGAGCCCCGCAGCACTGCTGTGGGTTCCCATCACAGCAACAGCACCGAGAGAGGAGGAGGGGAACGAAAGGAAACAAATCACAGTGCTCATTACTCAAAACGTAGGTAAGCAACCAATGACTGAAAGGCAAGCTCTGTCCCTTTGAAGTGATTCAACACACAAGTGGAATCCTGGAGAAAAACAGGAAGAAAATTCTCAGGCAACTGAAGCTGGCTACTCCAACAACTGAGTATGTAAAAAACAGCTTTTTTTTTTTAATTTGGGGACAAACCTGGACTTATTCCTGGCTCTGCATTAGGGATCACTCCTACTGGGGCTTGGGAGATGATATGTGGTACCAGAGATCAAACCCGGGTCACCCACATGCAAGGTAGACATCTCACCCACTTTACTATCCGGCCTCAAGAAACAACTTTTTTGTTTTCTTTTTGGGACATACCCGGTGATGCTCAGGGGTTCCTCGCAGGAATCACTCCTGGTGGTGCTCAGGGAACCATATGAGATGCTGGGAATCGAACCCGGGTCGGCCGCATGCAAGGCAAATGCCCTCCCCGCTGTGCTATTGCTCCAGCACCAAGAACCAACTTTTTAAAGACAGTTCTGGGCCAGGGAGAGAACGCAAAGACAGTGACTGTGAAGAACCTACGAGGTAGCTGACTGTCCTGTGACAGGTTAGCTGGTAGACGCCTCATGCTGTCACATCCTTTGGATGCCATGAGCTAGAAGGTGATTTGCTACGATGGCAGCTAAACTCGCAGGCCTCTTGAGGGCCCTTTTCTATTGTCTCTATTAGCAAACTCAAAACTCCCTTTAGAATAATTCTCTGCTGATTTTCACATGCTGGTCTCTCTCTTCCTTCACATGTTGTGTAATCTTCTCAGGGATAGAAAACCAAATAATTAGTTTGTGAGACTCCTGGGAAATGTACTGAGTAAAACAAATGGCTATGGATCTCCATTAAAGTATAAGCAGGTCTGACAGTTCTGGAATCTTTATTTTCCTATAAAGGTTAAAGCTGCTAAAGTTTCTTAAAAATGAAAATAGTTCAGGGCCCAAGAGATAGTGCAGAGGGTAGGGTGCTTGCCTGACTCAACTAAACTGGGTTTGATCCCTGGCACCCGATATGGTCCCTGAAGCAAAAACCGGAGTAAGCTTTGAGTACTGCCAGGTATGCTCCCGCCCCCCCCCCAAAAAAAAACCTAACCACAAACCCCCACAACAACAACAACAACAAAAAGAGAATTAAAACAGTTAAGTGATGAAGCTTAAATAGCAAACTGTGGTAAGAAGCAAACACAACATCTAAAACAGAATTACTTGGGGCTAGAGTGATAGCACAGCAGCTGGGGTCTCTGTCTTGCACACAGCTGACCTGGGTTCAATCACTGGCACCCCATATGGGCCCCTGAGGAGTGATCCCTAAGTGCAGAGGTAGGAGTACAGGAGGAAGCCTTTGGGTGTGACCCAAACCACCCATGCCCTCCCAGCAAAAAGATAGAATTACTCATGAAGAAGAGTAATTACAAGCATATCACTTGAATTCATCCTTAAAAATATTTTAACACTCCCATGCACCAAATATCTTCCGTAGGTGTTATTACTTGTTGTGGATTTTCCCAGGACTCTCCTTACCAAGAGTATCTTTGATGAGGATCTCAAGCTTCTGCCCCATGTTCGGTACTCTCTCCTCCCTTGGATTCTGTACTCGGTTTATAATCTCTTGCTTGATGGAGTTGATTACAAACAATAAATTATCTGTAAGATACAACAGGACACTTGGAATATACCACTTACAGGAAGAATTCGCTTTTAATTATGTGGTAACATTCAATCAAAACTAGAGAACATGCAAGAAAAAAACTAAACAAGGGTATTTGTGAATTTCCTTAGCTTAAATATCTGAAGTCAATCTCCGCATGACATTTGGTAATACCTTGTGGGTTTTGATGATGACTAGCCTGCATCTTAGGAGCAACCGGCCTCACTTGTCTTCATAGCTTTAAGGACTAATGGCGTTGGGCAGGGAGTGTGGCTCAGTGGTAGAGCACATGCCTTTTGTGTGTGAGGCCCTGGGTTTGAGTCCCTAGTACTGAAAGTAAAGTGGGGAAGGACTGATGACAGTGCCTTGTACATCGAATCACATCTTAATAACCGGATCAAGTACTCCAAAGATGATTTCAAAAACAGGTTTCCACATCTTAGCCACTTTTCAAAAAATGAGGGAAGCTGGGTAGGGAGACAGCTCCAAGAACTAGAGGCCATCCCTGGCATAAGCCCTGGGATCTGCAGCCCAGTATTGCATGCTCTGACCACCACAACTGGCTCCCAGAACCCTGAGCACTGCTTGGGAGACAGTCCCCACAAAGTAAAGCTGACCCAGAGTTAACAGGAGGGAAACAAGAGAAGAAATTAATGATAGAGAACATGAACACAGAATAGTCAAAGACAAATGCTGATTCTCTAAAAAGGTCAACAGTTGGCATTCACTCCTGCTGCCACCCACCTGCAGTGAACCTAATCAACTGCCTATATCTGGAGTTAAAAAGGAATCATCACAGCCTTTAAAGAATACAAGGAAGGGCCAGAACAATAGTACAGTGGGGAGGGCATTTGCCTTGCACATGGCCAACCGGCGTTCAATCGCTGGCATCCCATATGGTCCCCCAAGCACTTCCAGGGGTGATCCTTGAGCATTTGAGCCAGGAATCGACCCTGAGCATAACAGGTGGGGCCACAAACCCACAATAAATAAATAACAAGAAATCTCAGTGTCAGGCTGGGATGGCCTCAGTGGAAGAACACATGCAGGTTAGATCCCTGACACTGCAAAAAAAAAGGGAGGAAGAAAGGGAGGGGAAAGGGAAGGAGGGAGGGAGGGAAGGAGAAAGAATGGAGAAAGGAGGGAGGAAGAAGGAAGGGAAGGAGGAGGGAGAAAAGAAAAAATGATGCCAAATTCCATAATTTTGATAAAACGTATAATTTTTCTTCAACTGCAACTAAAAACTGATAGATGAAATGGAAAACCCAAACTGCCTTTTCTTGCCAAGACATTGAACTTATTGAAATATATTCTCCAAAAAAACCCAGGCGTGGGAGGGAGGGCAGGGAGATGACTCCTGCAGAGTGCTGCAAACATGGCGGCCACATCAGGCCAAGAAGCCAACCCCGCCCCCTCCCACAGGCAGGAGGGCCTCAGCAGCTGTTGGAGACGGAACCACCAGGCCCAACAGCACAGGGGTCGGCCAGAGCTCCTGAGAACTACAGGGCATGGCCTACTAAGAGAAAAAGAAAATGAAACAGTGCTTTAATGGCCAATTCTATTAAGCTTACAATGCAGAAATGAAACTGATCTTTTCCAAAATTTTCCCACCAAAAAGAGGACAGGGCCATGAAATAACACAGTGTGTAGGGCATTCGCCTGGCATCGGATCCCTGGGAACACATATGGTTCCCAAGTCCCAGCAGCAGTGGTCTCTAAGCACAGAGTCAGAAGTGAGTCCTGAGAACCCCTGCTGTGGCCCAACACCCCCACCCAGTAATTTTCTCGAGCGGGCCCAGTAATGTCTCCATTGTGAGACTTGGCTGTTACTGTGTTTGGCATATTGAATACGTCACAGGGAGCTTGCCAGGCTTTGCCGTGCGGGCGAGATACTCTCGGTAGCTTGCCAGGCTCTCCGAGAGGGGCAGAGGAATTGAACTCGGGTCAGCCATATTGGCCACTTGCAAGGCAAATGCCTTACCTGCTGTGCTACCTCCCACCCTTGATCCCCGACACCCCCACCCAAAGAAGAAAAATTATAGCCCAATAATTTCTGTAAGGGCAGGATAAACCAAATACCAAAACTCGACATCACAAAATAAGAAAATCACAGGCTGGAGCACAAGCTTTCCATGCAGGAGGCCCAGGTTCGATCCCTAGATCCACATAATCCTCCATGGACAGCCAGGACTGACCCTTAAGCACGGACTCAGGAACTGTCCCTTAGCTTTCCTGAATATGACTGGGGAAAAATGAACGGAAATGGACCTGTGTTTTGTTTACATCTAACAAGCCTTAACATGTAAGTCTAACTCCTCAGGGAAAATGTACAAGAAAACATTTGCAATTCTGGAACTGGCAAAGTTTCTTGCAATATAAAGAATAGGGAGTACAAATAAAAATCCGACACACTGGACTTCATCAAAATCAATCATTTTTGTTCTTTGAAAGAAGTCAACAAGGAAACAAAAGGACAAGCAAAGACTTTGATAAACCATTTCAACATATCAAAGAATTTACGCCTAGAATAGGAATACTGAGAAGGTGATTTTTAAGGCAAAATATTTGATCAAACACAAACACAAAATGCATAGCCAATAAGCATAGAAGAGATATGCAACATCATCAAATAAATGCAGATTAAGACCACCTGACATGCTGCCTATCCGATAAGGCCTTATGCTGCTTAACATAAAGTCTGACCTACCAAGAGTTGTCGAGGACGGACAATTGAAACTTCCTATGCTGTTTTTGGTGAGGTGAATGTGAAAACGGCCTTGCGAAAACAGCTTGACAATTTTTTTTAAACAAAGTTTAATATCTCATGATATAGCCAGTCTACTCCTTGATATGTAACTGAAAAAAACTAAAACATATGTCCAGGTTGTATTACTTATCCAGGAATATCCATAGCAGCTTTGTTATGACAAAAGCTAGAAACATCTCAACATCAACAGATGAATGGATAAACACATCCAATATGATTGGGTACTACGCAGTACTGAAAAGGGATTGTTTTCTTTTCTACTGTGAGTCTGCAGAAAAAAGGCTGCACAAATGCAAGGCAAATGCTCTACTCCTGAGTTACATTCCTGGGCCAAAGGATCTAATTCTTGCTATAAACAACAAGGTAAAATTTTTTTTTTAATTTTTAAAATTTTTTACTTGCATCACTGTGTGCTACAGTTATAAATCTTTCATGTTATAGTTTCAGTCATACAATGATCGAACACCTATCCCAAAAAGGTGAAAGTTTTAAAATATGTTGAAACGTTTAAGTAAAAAAAAAAATAATTTTAGGAGATGCAACCTACAGTGACAGAAAGCAGATCACAGCCACCCAGGACAGAGGTAGAGGGAAGGATGGCTTACGAAGGAGGACCAGAAAATTCTGAAGATGATCAAAATATTTACTCATTATCTTGATTATTTTCACATGTGTGTACATATGTTTATATATGAGACTCTTTAACCATACTGCCATAAAGTTGAAAGGGAAAGTATTTCTTATTTCAAAACATAGTATTCCTCTGCTCTGAAATACATCCGTACGTCCTCAAGAGATCGCCTGAAATCAGTGTTTTCCTAGGTTTCATCTGTTTAAGAACGAAGAGATCGCTTGAGACTGACGCTGGAGAGGGAAGTGAGAAACACCGGCGTAGTGTAACACGCCCACCAGGACAGCATACGCAAACGTGTTGCTAAACAAAGAAAGCAAAGCACAGCTAACTCCCTGAGTCACAGGAAACAGAAATTCCTATTTTCTTCTTGATAATTAGCAGAGAGAGCTCCGTTTCACTCAAATAAAAGGATGGACCTGCAGAAGTGGTGGCTGAACCGGGCTTGCCCCCGCCTCCCACCAGGAGCGATCCCTGAGTGACCCCTGCCTGAGAGAGGACTAAGTCCCGAGCACCACTGGCTCAAAACAAAACAGAGGACATTTTTCTACGCAGGCCAAACTGAAGCAAAGCAATGACGGTTCCCCATTCTCGCCAGGTAAAATAAGGTTGATTTACAAAAGACGGGTTGGAAGAGAGGAAGGAAGTGTGAGAACTTCAGCGCCTGATAGCTCTTCTCAAAGCTGGGGCTGCTGGGGAGGGCAAAGGACTCTCACCTCCACGCCTCCGGGGTAGGGAGAGGCCAAACATTAGATCTTCACACAGATCCCACCTCCTCTAATTAGATTTACTCACAAAATTTCCCATTTGCGCTTTCCTTCTGCATGCTGCACAGGGAGAAAATATGCCCGTCAGGGTGAAAGGCCAGTCCAGGAAGGGCTCTAGTTCTCCCTTGGCACCAACCAACGGACAGACTTTTGAGCCAGAGCGGTCTCTGGGTGCCAGAAATGGACAAACGGACAGATCTTCAGAGGATGCCAGTTCACCAGGACAGCCTTCCTTCCTCACTGCAGGCCAACTCAGTGGTCACCATCAAAAACAGCAGGTTCCCAAAGCCTGGGAAGGGAGTGCTGCTCCGGGTCGGACATTACTGCGGACTCAGTGCCACCGTGAAGGCCACTCACTGCAGAGGCCCTCAGACAGTCTGACAGCCGAGTTCAAAGGTCCGACTCCCGAGCGCCAGGCCCGAGAAGAGGCCAAGGTGAAGTTCAGGGTGAGGTACAAGAACAAATGATCCTTTGAAAAGTGATTTCAGATATTTTGTTTCATTCTAATGTTAGAAAAGAATTTTAAAAAGACAATGGATTACATTCATCATAAAACGAATATGTCTGTTTTGGGGTGGGGGCTCCCAAGCAGTGCTCAGGGGGCTCTCGGGGCACTCCCTGGAGGACACAGCCAACTGACCAGGCAGTCTGATGCTAGCACCTGAGGATGCGGAGCTGAACCAGGGACCACCCAGGCCACAGCCGGCAGTACTTGGCGGGGGGTGTCATGAAGTATAGGGGGTTGGGCTAGGGTCCCCCCCAGACTTCCCCCAGCCTGTGTCATCTCCCTGGCCCCCTATCTGTCTCTACTATCATGTTAAAAATGATACAGTTCTTGTAGATGCTGTTCTTTTGACGGTTTCTACTTGGCAAACGTCAAGTTGCTAACACGATGGTCCCCAGCCCTAAACCCCTGTTCGGTGCCACTGGTCTGGATGACCGGAAGCCGCTGTGTTGCTAGGTAACAGGAGTAAGCAGTACACAACGCAGTGACAGACTGACCCCCTGTTTAGAGGAACCAAGGGCACCTTTCCCTGGAGAGCTACCAGAAACCTCCAACTACACAAGGGTATCGATTCTGGTATCCCACTCCTAAACCGACCGGTGACTCCGCTCTTTCCCAGGGGCTGGAGAGGAGAAGAGAGGCTAGTAAGGCAGGCGTGGAAGAGAAATAAATAAATGAGAAGAGAAGATCCTCTTTTCTAATTGAGAAGAAAATAGTACCTTTTAAAGACAGGCCTTTCCTTACATGAAAAGATCAGAGGCTTTAAGGTAGCTCTGGAAACAAGAAAAATTGAAGGCAGTCATGAAAACTCAATTGGAGCCAGAAGAACAGATTCAGAAACACACTCCCAGCCCGTACCACTCCCCGGTTACTCCCCGCCCTGGATATAATTACAGACACAAAGTATGCGTGTGGGAAAGCATGCACATATACACAGATGCAAATACGATACAGATTTCTACACAGATATTCATAATTATGGATAAACAGGTTAACTGAACACACATATAGTTGCCTATACGTGTCCAGAGACGCAGAACCAGAGACTCCTGTTGGCCCCGCATCTCCCTGCAATGCGGCTCAGCTGGGCTCTAAAATGAAATAGGATTGTCCATGACACTATATCTTTTACATATATATGTATTATGCATATATACATACATACATTCCTATACACACACAGAGCTCAAGGTCAAAAATGCTTCAACATCAAGAAAAATAGGAAATGGGCATATTTCCATCCAATAAATGAACTATTATTTTTCGCCTGGATTGAGTTACTATTATTAAAGCTACCTGTTCATATAAAAAATGTGAACTTTACAGTTGGCTTTTGTTTGATTTTGAGCCACATCCAGCAGTGCTCAGGGCTTATTCCTGGCTCTGCTCAGAAATCACTCCAGGTAGTGGAGTGACTTGGGAGACCCTATGGGGTGCTGGGGAGCAAAGCCCAGTTGGTTACATGCGAGGCAAGTGCCCCCCCGGCTGTACAATCTCTCCAGTCAAACTTTACAGTTGGAAACCCTTTCTGCTCCAAAGAATAAGGGTTACGGAAAGCTGCAGCACATTTACTGAGCACTTATGTGCTAGCAATCACACTAGTTTCAAGAAACTCTGATCTAATGCAAGCAATTCGGTGGTGAGAGGCACATGCTCAGTCTAGAGGGTCCCAGAGCGCCACCAGGCTTGAGCAGCACCAAGCCTGAGCACTGAACCCACTAGCCTAGCTGGTTAATGGTCACCATAGGGGCCCTGGACCCCCTGAGAGCTGCTAGGAGGGACCCCTCCAAAGAAACTATGAAAACAAATAATAACTGATCATTCAGCCCACAGGATCTACTTTCTGATGCAACTTAGTCCAAAACTACAGTGAAGAGGACAACTGTAAACTCTCGTGGTGTCAGGCCCAAGGAACGGTCACACGGCAAGGGAGAAGGGTGGAGGGGTCCTGTCCCAGGAACACCTCTCAAGGGCCCATCTCTACATGTGCCAGGGTGCTCAGTTCCCAGTACATGCTAGAGCGACTGCATGAGAGCCGTCCAGGAAACGCTTGACGGCCACTTGGCTCCGCCTGGACGGGGGCCAAGGGAGACCCTGGGAGAGGCATGGGCTCGAGTTTGCTCACCACATACACAGAGGACTCCGTGAGCCGCCAAGTCAGGGAAACGCAGGTTTAAACTGTGCAGGCCATGGTTGAAATAAACTTTTGTCAATAAAACTGGTTAACTCAGCAACACAACTATAAAAGGCAAGTGAGAGATTTCTGGTGACAAGTGGATGAAGATTGGCTTGGGGAGCCGAGACACACAGACTCACACTGAGAGAGGAAGTGAATGAGTGAAAGGGAGTATGAGGCTTCTGGATGGATGAACAAAGGAGACAGCCCCAAATGGGGCAGATGACAGGAAAGCATATACCAAACCAAGGAAAAGAGAGCGGTCAGCAAAGTAGCAGAGGTTAATCAAATTCTAAAAAGTTGAAGTTTACCATATTCAGTGTTGAGGCCCCATAATTTCACTTTATTAGCTTCATACTGGGCTTTTTTCTTTAACCGACAAGCTCTGTGAAAGGAAGGAGCAATTAGTTCACTTTTTGGGAAGTGAACACTCAGAACACACTTCTTTTTCTCTGCTGTCAGACATTTCTAATAGCAGCCCTGAGTCACAGCTGTTTCTCTCAAGGGACTGCTTACCAAAATCACAGTATGCTCACTCATCCAAACTCATTTCTAAAAATTTTGCACAACACTCAAAAATAAAGCTATGACCAGTACACCAAAATAAGCGAACAAAAGTTGACGATAACAAGTGCTGAAAAGGATGTGCAGCAAGTACAACATTCGTATGTTGATGAGGAGATGTAATAGTACATGTAACTACTTTGGACAATAGTAAATTTTAAAAATTTGCTCTGTTAATAAATAGCAAAATTTGAAGCTTCTCGTAAACGTTAAAAAACACAAGCACTTATGTTCACGCAAAATCCTGTGAGTGAATGTTTATGGTGACTTATCCATAATTGTAAAAACCTGGAAACAACCTAAATGTCCCTCCTGCACTAGTGACAAACACACTGTAAACTGCCCTACAAAAGACACCGACTCGGCACTGAGAGGAACAAACTGTTCCTCCAGGCAGCTACACGGACCACTGGCAACGCAGCCCATGAAGTGGAGAAGTCTACAGACAGTGATTTCATCCAGATGACCTTCTAGAAAAGGTCACACTGGAAGGACAGCAAAAGATCAGTGTCTGGGAGGAGTGGTTTTCTTTTTCAAAGAGGTATGAGAACATTTTTCACACTGACGAAAATGCTTAGAATCTTGATTGTGGAGGGGATTACACGCTTGGTTGTGCTTGTCGAACCCCGTGGACACATAAAGACGTGTCCAGTAAAAGGAATAAATTCTATGACAAATAAATTACATTTCAATAAACTGACTTTCTGCAAAACAAACCCAAACAATGAAAGCTATGACGAAAATTTACATTGCTATATATCTAACACAGAGTTCATTCACCTCTCTTTTTTAAGTTTTTCCACGAAGCATAAATACCAAATTTTACTAGGAGTTAAAATTAGAATACTCTTATAATAGCAGTCATAAGAAAGAGGGTGTGTCCTGCATGATGGCTGAGGTGCTGTCTGCTGTGAACTCACTCGAGTTTGATGTGGGTCACGAGACGGAACGTGAGGAACATTTACCTGGAGGCAAGCTTGTTTTTTTCCTTCCTTGACCGTGGCCGGGCTGTCAAGGGAAGCTCACTGACGGGAGTCAGATCGCTAATCACCTTGTTAAGTTTCCGCAGCTCACTGCCTATCTGGAGGAGTTTCTTAGGGTTTGGAGTCAGGTCTTCCACGTCAGTTCTCCGCGACTTCTTTACTGCATATTTCCCTAGAGAAGTTAAGTTGGATTATTTTATTTGACGAGAGAGAAGCTTCCCGCTGTCATACTTTAAAACAATGTATTCCTGGGTCTACTGACACATCTTTTGGTTGGGAAGTCTTGGCATGTTTCAGATGCCTCGGCCTGCTAACAAACTTTCCTTCCTACCGTGAAACTTCAAGAAGCTGGCATAATACAAAAACAGCTCTGACCTTTCCCGGGTACTTAGACGGATTCTTAACTCCACAGCAGTAGTAAGTACCTTAACTCTGGAGTGCAAGTAGTCTGCACACAGAAATCAGAGCTACGGTCAGAAGAGGTTTGAAAACTTTGATGCTGAGACTGAAAATCTGACATACATACTCTTTTTTACTTGGGGGGGCACACCAGCAGTGCTCAGGCACTACTTCTGGCTTTGTGTTCACTCCTGGTGAACTCGGGGGGCAATATGTGGTGTTGGGGATCAAACTCAGGTCGGCGGCATGCAAGGCCAGTGCCCTCGCTGCTGTACTATTGTTCCAGCCCATGACATACATTCTTATGTTGGACTCCAAAGGCAAAATTAAGGATGGCCTTGATACATATGCATACATACATGTATACATACTACTCATATGCCATGCCCAGCACTGCACAGATGCAGTGCCAGGGAGCAACTCAGGGCCTTGAATATGCGATGCATGTGCTCGTCTCCAGCCCTAGGACGACCATTTGTGAAAACTCTACTTGGCTATTTTGGTGAATAACATCACAGAAGACTCAGAAGTTTTGTCCTATTATTACAGGCAACATGAACGGCTCTGTTGTCTGAACCACAATATACTTGGAACTATTTATTGAACTTTTCTTTCATTTCTGGCCGAAAATTGATCTGAAGGCAGAAACTAGGTCTTTCCATTTATTATTCACTGAGAGACAACTGCATACAGACCTGGGTACTAGCGGAAAAGGAAAATGAAGCACAACAATGAAAACAAAATAACCTCCGCTGATATCTCAGATCTCCCCAGTATTTTTCCCTGGGGAAAAACTGCTCAGCAGCTGACATGTAAAGTAGAAGTAATTTTTACTGAGCACCAAACTTACTAGTACCTTCGCCTTTTTCTGGAAGACTTCAAATTAACGTAAAAATGGCCCTTGAGGTCGAGGGGTAGGGAGAGTGCAGGCGCGGCTAAGGCTCCCTTCCCCGGCACTGCACACGGCACACTGAGCTCAGACCAACGAGCAAGCCCCGAAGACCACTGGGTGTGGCCCGGCCTCCACCCCATGCCCTGCATAGGAATGACACTTCCACAGGCTTAAAAGGTAACTCAAACGTCTGATCCCTAAGTACCACTGAGTGTGGCCCCCATGGTCCCCATTCCCATCGCACCCCAGTCTGAACTGCTGGACTGAGTATCAATGGGAGTGGCCTTGGACTCCTGAACAAGGCTGGTTCTCCTCCCCCATCGAAGACGACGGCTGCTCCAAAGCAATTCTCCTTCAGCACATCTTCCAGGGCTCACAACTGAAACGTGGCTGGCACTAGGAACTTTCCTGTGGCACCCCCCAGCTCCTACTATTCACCTCCCAACTCTTCTGCTTTCTTTCCCTTACCCTCATCTCTTCCTCCAGCCCCAGTCCATCCTCCGTTTGTATTTAGGTTTGAAGATGAGCTGCGAGGGGAGGAGAGAGAGGCTGAAGCCCACTCTCTAACGCCCCACCTTTCACGGCTGGTTTATAGAAACGGGGAACGGCGAGGAACCAGCAGCCTCCTGGTTATTCCCTGGGTGGGTAAGCAAAATTAAGGGCTGGAGACATCAGACGGGGGTTCAGGTTTGATCCCTAGCACCACACGGGGTCCCCTGAGTAAGCCCCAAGCACAGCCACGTGGGCCTCCCCCAGAACCGGGCCAAAGTGACTAGGAATGAGTCACTTTATGCCAGCTTCCTCCCTGTCTGGATGATGCTCTCCTCCCTGGGAAGAGCTGGCAGTGGCTGAGGGCCAGTCAGAGCTGCTACACTCTCGCGCCTCTTTGCAGTCTGCCAGGAGGGGCTAACACCGAGGCACACCGGCCACTCTGGCTGAGCGTCTGCCTGAAGTACCACGGCTACCCCCATAGTCCCTCTTACCGTGATGGAAGCCGTTTTTCTGGTACATGTTGCTTGGTAAAGTCTCTCGGCTCCACTCAGATGGCTTCAGCATCCTCTCTGGCTGCGAGGGCGTGAGCTGCTCGCTGTACTCCCAAAAGTACCTTCTCTTCCCTCTCTTCCGGGAGGATATTGATGTCATCTCCTTCAAGTCTTCCACAGAATCATTTTCATAGCCTTTTAAAAAGAAGTTCCCCCACCAGTATTTTAAATTACATCAACTGGAACACAAATATTTCTTTCATGTATCATTTGCTACAGTTTCTTTCATAAGAAAATATCAATGGCACGTCAAAGATAATTAACCAGGTCTATAAATATTTAATGTAAATCTCCACAAAATAGGGATGATAAACATAGATTTGCACTAAATCTTTAAGTTTTTTTCTGGGTTTTCCATAAATGAGTATCCGAGTCTTGACATGATACTGATACAACAAGGAAATACAGCTACTGGACCGTCACAACTTCACAAGGAAACTTAAGACACTGCCCGCGGCTATCTGTCTCTTCCTCCTGACGGTTCTCAGACGTTAAGCGAGTGCATTTACAGAATGGCTCCTGACTGGGCGGGACTCCAGGGAGGCAGCTACCTGCACTCTGCTCCCACCTGCCCGTTTCATGAAAGGAAAAATGACAGTTTTTACACAGGCTATCAAATAAAGACACATGTCCACCCTAACCCACATTTTATTGACAGCAACTGCCTCTACTTCGCTCATTTCAGTTTAGTTGAGGGCACACCCGGCGGTGCTTACGGTCTGTTCCTGGTGGTGCTCCAGGGACCATGCTCTCTGCAGTCCCTTGATCCATCTCCCTGACCCTTCCTTCTCTTTCTAAGAAGTCACTTGATAACTAATGGAAACATTCTGAAAATACTTAATTCTGAGTTTCTGGAACTGTGCCAAGCTCAATCCATGATGACTTCAAAATCTAAACTCCCCCCCTAGATTGTCCCTCGTGTGGACTCCACTCACGTGAGGTACACAGCCTAATGGGGACGGGCTATGCTCAGCCCGTTGGACACCCCCACGGTGGCAGTGGCCAGGTAAAAGGTCTAGGTCCACTTTCCTGCCTCAAAAAGCGGCTACGAGGGGCCAGAGCAATAGTTCAGCAAGTAGAGTGTTTGCCTTGCACTCAGCTAACCCGGGTTCGAGTCCCAGCATCCCACATGGTCTCCCAAGCACCAGCAGGAGTGACCCCTGAATGCAGAGGCAGGAGTTACCTGGCAGCACAGCCAAGTGTGGTCCTAAAACAAAACAAAACAAAACAAAATGAAAAAGTGGCTTCTCAGGAACTGATGCTAAGGCATAATTCCATCTACATATTTTGGGAGAAATGTCAGCATTTCAGAATTTGACCAGGTTTTCTTCAGACCAACAATCAGTCATGAATATGATTCCAGTTACATGACATTCTGTACAAGATAAACCTCCAAGATCAAAGGGGTTGCTGGTGTTGGTGGTGGACCAAGAGAGAGATCCAAGGGGTAACTGAACTCTTTTGTATCTTGCTTGTGGCAGCAACGTTTCCATGCTGTCCAAACTCAGAGGGGAGTACCCTTAAAGAGGGGTAAAATTCACTGTGGGAACTCTAACTCAATAAACACAACCTTTATTAAGAGAAATAATAATAAGGTGCCAGAGAGAGTGGAAGAGGCTGGAGCACATGCTTTGCATGCAGGAGGCCTGGTTTCGACGCTGGCTTCCTGGCTTCCCGACACTGCCAGGAGTGAGTCTGGGGCATCATCAGGTATTACTCCCCTCCCCAGTTATTTCAAACCACTACAGAGAACAGAATGATTTCAGGACAACAGACAAGAACGTAGTACAGGGGATTCTGACTGGCCACGTGCAAAGTGGAAACCCGACCCGCTGTCCTATGTCTCTGGCCCTGTCAAATACGTTTCAAGAAGTTCTTCGTCCTTACCTCCCTCTTGCCACGTGGCAGCGGGCATAAGCATACCAAAAGACTATGAAACTGAGTTTGCCTTGTGCCTAGCCAACCCTGGTTCAGTCCCCACCACAGCCTGAGTTCTTTTTGAAGTGGCCTGGAGCACAGAGCCAGGAGTAGGTCCTGAGCACTGAAGTGTGGCCTCCAAGACAACCAAAAAAGACTAAGAAGTCCTAACCGTAAATAAACCAACCGAGTTCGATGGGGACAAGCAAGGGTCACATCTATTCTGTTTGCACATAGTCAATATCCAATATACAGTTTCTGACACAAAAGCAGGCACTCAAAAATTTTAAACAAATTAATGATTTGTTTAATCCGACAGTTCCCATGGTCCTTTTCCTTTCTCATTTGATGGATCAGCATGCTGCTGTCACTCATTTTAACCTCCTATTATTACTCAGAGGAAGTAAAAAAGCCACATTTACTCCCTCCAATCCAATCACCAATCTGGGGATGAGTGCAGACTACTGCCATGAAGGTGGTCAACTGTGAAGTGTTTTGGAGGGATCACAAAATTAATTAACTGGGGCTGGAGCGATAGCACAGTGGGTAGGGCGTTTGCCTTGCACGCAGGCAACTTGGCCAACCTGAGTTCGATTCCTCCGCCCCTCTCGGAGAGCCCGGCCAGCTACCAAGAGTATCTCGCCCGCACGGCAGAGCCTGGCAAGCTCCCCGTGACGTATTGGATATGCCAAACACAGTAACAACGAGTCTCACGATAGAGACGTTACTGGGCCCGCTCGAGCAAATCGATGAACAACAGGAGGACAGTGACTTGACTTGACAAAATCAACTCACATATGGGGGCTCAATTCTTAGCTTTAGAACCATGTAATCCCATGACCTCAAACAGCTATAGACTATCTGCAGAATAGGTTCGATTAAAACTTGGGAGCCGGTCCAGACAAGGGACTGAACTTCATTTCACACCTTTCCTGGGGCTTCGCAGGCTCAGGCACTGTCGTAGCCAAATGCCCAGAAAGAGCATCAAGAGAGCCAGTCGCCACAAAAGGGCCTTTGTCGCTACCACTGACGCCAATCAGCCCACTCTAAAACCAGCGCTCTAAAGACACTATTGCTGGCCCTACTTTCCTGCTTCAAAGAATTTCTTCCTGCTTTACACCAAAAATTCACTTCTGCTTTCCTAAAGTCATTTGTTTTTCTTCTGAGAAAAAAAAGTATCTATTAACAAATGTGAATAATGCCTCAGTAAGAACACAAAACTGTGCTTCTTTCGTGGTTTAAGCAAACCATTCATTAATGTCTGCGAAGTCACTAGCCAAAGAAGTTTCACTTCACGTCAAATGGAAGTGAATGGATCAAATATCCTCTGAACATTCAGCACTATTAAAGAACACAGAGAGGAGAGTTATCCTGCTGAGGGGCAGCTCCAGCGTGTGGGTCTGAAAGCCCTGCTGACCACCAAGCTCACCGAGCTGAGTTCTCTTATAAGGACTGCGGGGAAGAGAACACAGAATCATAGACCACCACCACAAGTAACGCTGGCTTCCCTTCCCTATGAGAAAGGCTGAGAAATTAAGTGAGGATCCGCTTACCAAGTGGTCTTTACAAACTGCTCATCTCTCAACCTTTTTTATCCGTTTGAGGCCACACCTGGCAATGCTCAGGGCTTACTTCTGGATCTCCACTCAGGAGTCACTCCTGGAGGACTGAGAAATGCTGGAGGTGGGACCTGGGTCCGCCACATGGAAGGCAAGGGCCCTTCCTTCTGCACTCTCTCTCCAGCCTCTCGACACTTTGCTTTTTTTTTTCAGATGAAAACAAGTCAAAAGATCCAGAATAATTTAAAGTGTAGTTAAGGGGGGGAAAAGGCAAGAAAAGAAAAAAGAGGAAAAATAAAAGCAAAACTCCTAGTAGAGATGCAGCAGACCCAGCGTCAGGGCTGGTCTTGACGATGGTCGGGCTTACTGAACCCATCCACATCCGCCCTTAGGCACCCCCTGGAAAAGGTACCTCCTGGGAAGGTTACTCTGCGTCTCCTCGCTGTCTCCCCTTCCCCCTGGCCCTCTGACCCATGATCCAAATCCAGGGACTCCTGCAACAGGACCACTCAGGAACTGTCCGGGGTCTTTCTTAGGGAAGGGGCTATCAACTTACTTTCAAAGACCACTTTCCCTGAAACATCTCAGAGCAGACTATTAATCTGAAAATATTCTTGCTTTGTAGAAAGACAATAGTTCTAGGACTATACAGAACTTGAAAATAAATTTCAAGAAGGGCATAAACCCTTCTCTCCACATAAAAAATCAAAGTAATTTTTCTTTACCTGAAATTCCACCCAAGCCAAACAATTTGGTGTATCAACTACATAAAGTATTTGTGTACAGAAAGATCACACTAAAAGGAAAAGGTCTCTCTGCAATTCTGGTGTTTCACTGGCTACAATACTAGGTCTTAAAGAATTTTCCAAAAATAAAGTACCAGTTCTTCACTGGATCACTGTCATCCCACTGTTCACCGATTTCCTTGAGCAGGCACCAGTAACGCCTCCATTCATCCTAGGCCTGAGATTTCAGCAAGTGCCACATTGGAGGCTCTTTCAGGGTCAGGGGAATGAGACCCATCATTGTAACTGGGTTTTGGCATATTGAATACGCCACGGGGGCTTGCCAGATTCTGCTGTGCGGGGAGGATACTCTCGGTTGCCTGTCGGGTTCTCCAAGAGTGAGAACTAGACAATAAGAGGTCTAGTTTCACCAGTTCTTATTCTGCCATAAATTTCAGCATTTATAATAACAAAAGGACTCTCTGACAGCATATATTTCAAGTTTAGAATTTATAGTTTTCATACCAGTTTTGAAGAAAATGATTTCTCCACAAACTAGAAGACCTTCACTTCTTCCCCCCACCCCCCACCTTTTTAAAACTAAGTACAAAGAGTGAGAGCTTCACGCCTTTGTGCATTTTTCACTGTGTATCTCTTGGCAATACCACTTTTATACATAAATTGCCTGAGCCAACAGCGGCAACAACCCAAACTAACACGAAGCAACTGTGCACGCTTTCACTTTATCTCACCCTTTTCTCTGAAGCAGCGTTACAGCAATACCACCTGAGTCTCTACTCATGCTTGCTAGATTATAGGATACACTTCTCTTCAACGGAAACATGCTGTGCAAATGAAAGATGCCACAGATGTAAAGAAAAAGCCCTTTCCCCATGACTCATGAAGCAGGCCTTGTCGACTGTGGTTAAGAGTATCACAAACCATCGTCACCTGGCTCCCCACTCAAGGGATGCTTAACTTCCCCGCCATCACAGACAGAGGGACAAGTGCAGAGGCAGGAATGCGCATTAACCAGTCAGAGCCGGACACCTTTACACAGCTGCTCCAGAGAGTGACAAACCAGGTCACGTTACATAAGAGAAATGAAGCAGCCGCCCTTAAGGAATCAGCACGCGAACCACCAGATGCGCAAAAATGATTATTTTAGAGTTTTTGAACAGATTATTTTTTTAAAAGAAAACTATTCTATCTGAGCCAAGATGTTAAATCTAAGTCATTTTCAAATTAAGATAAGGAAAGCATCTAGAGTTAGGCTTTCTACTTCAAGGCAGTAGAGAGAGGGTCTTTTGGGAGCCTCGCATGACAGTACCTGGTTCAGAGAACGTGTCGCTAATATCATCGTCCTTGTCGTCCTCATAATCCTCCTCCTCCTCTTCTTCTTCCTCGTTCTCAGAAAGTTCGTGTTCACTGCCAAATCCTTCATCATGGTCCTCGTCATCGTCGTCAATATCCTCCTCGTCCTCTTCATCGTCTTTAGGACTGCATTTGGTTGGCTGTTCACCTGAGCCGTCGGCGATGAAGAGGGAGTAATTGTGCTCTTCCTTTTTCTGGGATAAGTCAGAGAGGGCCACGCTGGCGGAAAGTCTGCTACTCTCTCCGGCAGCAGCGACGACCCTCGGCCCTTCCCGGGGCAGAGGGCTGAGTAACAGTTCGTGGGTCTCTTTGAAAGGCAACGCTGGGATGGTGTGGCCCTGGGCAGGCTGCACAGCCTTCTTGTCGGGCCGCCGGGTGGGGGTGCCACAGAGGCAGGCGCTCTCCTTCGCGGGGTCTGGGTGAAGGCGGCACAGCAGGGGCCGGCTCTGCTGCACAGGGGTGACCTTCACCTTGGCCTTCTTCACATAGTCTTTACACTCCACATGGAAGTTCACCTTCTCGTTGAGAAACACGTTGGTCTTCACCACGATCTGTGTGCTTGAGGTGGGCTTACTGGCTTTCTGGACACAGTCTGACAAAGCGACCTCCGCCTGCAGAGTCTTGGAGGAGCACAGAGGGGCGGCGGCCCTGCTCGAGATCTTCTTCCCGGGGAATGAGGACGGCAGGGGGTTTTGCTTGACACTGAAGAGGGACTCGGGGTAGTACAGGGAATCGGAAACAGACTGAGAGTCCTCGCTGTTCAGCTGAGCCAGCGTGGGGGTTTTGCTTATGACCTCCTCGTCTTGGTACGGGCTAGAAAAATCATCAAGGCCCAAGTAATCCACTTCTTTGGTTCCCCAGATGTCACAGCTGGTCAGCTTGGTGTACTTCGTCAAATCTTCACAGTACATGTCCCACTGTTCCCAGTTGGAGGTTAGCGCCCCCTCATTATCCAGGACGTCCGTGAAAGACTCCAGATTTTCAATGTCCTTGCAGTCCTCCAAAGAAAGGAAGTTGTCTCTAGGATTTTGTTGACAGTTCATCTCTCTGTCCTAAGAAAGGTTTTTTTAAAAAAAATCAATTTATTTTAGGAAAGAAATATTGACCTCCATCCTTACCAAATTAGTGAGCAGTGCTTGAACTTTGGTCTGTTTATTTTGTTTTTTAAATAGGGGCCACACCCAGCAAAGCTCAGCCTGGCAAAGGGCACCAGGGTCACCCCCAGAGGTGTTCACGGGGGCTTGAGGGGGCCGAGTGAGAACTCAGGGCCTTGCACATGCTAGGCATGCTCTCTACTACTTCAGTTATCTCCCCGGCCCTGGCTGGTTTTATTTGAAAATAAAGGATACTTACATGACACTGTACCATTCCATATTTCCTTGGACAGGAAAAAAGGGAAAAAACGTCCCCTGAGAGGCTTAGGTATGGTCCAAATATCAAGGGCTCTTGAACTTTACTACAAACACTCATCCTGAAAAAAAGTTTACATTTCCTGACCTTTGACTTAGAAAGATTTTGGAATCTCTTAGAAATAAGCTTAGTTATGCAAAGCAAATAACAAAGGCCTTACCTTTGCAATAGAAGAATCTGTCTTCTTAAGAGAGAACTTAAATCTAGAGGAAATGAAGGGCTGGGAGCAATAGTACAGAGGGCAGGGCAAATGCCTTGCACGCAGCTGGCCTGGGTTTGATCTTGGCATCCAGTGTGGTTTCCCAAGCCCCACTAGAAGTGACCCCTGAATGCAGAGTCAGGAGAAAGCCCCGAGTACCCAGAGTGCAGCCCCAAAACAAACCAAAAACACGCAGAGGAAATGAGCAATCCAAAAAGAGTTGGAAGTCACACACGGAAGACGTCTCCCGTGAGACCGTGAACAAGCATTAGCTGTGCGGCATACACCCCCCTCGGGAGCAGAGAGGTTTTAAAGTGTCAGACCATGTACACAGCCAGTCAAGAGGATGAGTTTAGACTCTAATGGACAGCATGAAAGGCTGCTCACTACATATGCTTTCTTTGAGGGGCCTGGGGAGGGGGCTCTACCCAGCGATGCGCAAGGGTTTCTCCTGGCTCTGTACTCAGGAATTACTCCTGGCAGTGCTTGGGGGATCACATGAGGCTGTCTGCCAGGGATCAAAGCCAGGTCAGCCATGTGCAAGGCATGTGCCCTACCCACTTTACTACCTCTTCGACCCCTCGCTACCTTCAAAAGAATCGCATTAGAGAACAACATTATCTATCAACAACCGAAAATATTTACATATGTACATATGCACAGAAAAGCTGTCAGAAATAATAAACCTTGGCAAGAAGGACTAGCGGACAGAGGCTCAGGGAGAAAACAAGGATGCTGGGGGGAGGGTGGGAAGGAAACTGGGGACACTGGTGGTAGGACACGCGCAGTGGTGGAGGGATGGGTGCTGGAGTATTGTTTGACTGATCCACGACCATGAGCAGCTTTTCAACTCTGTATCTCACAGGGATTCAATGTAAAAAAAGAAAGCCAAAAAAATGAGGATGTGTTCAGCCTGTTTCGTCTGTCTGCTTTTGATCCTCACAAGCCCATCAGTGTTGGTGAAGTTACCGGTGTTTCACTGTATGACCGTGACTTAGACCCGCAAGCTTTGTAACTGCTCTCACTGTGATTCGATAAATAAAATTATAAAAAAATGAAAAAAAAAAAGGTGGAGTTCACGCACAATTCAATCAGCTAATCAGTGGCTGAATAAAATAGCAGTACTCCTGCATTCAACAACAACAACAACAAAAAGCCCATCAGTGTTTAGGGCTTACTCCTGGCTCTGTGCTCAGCATCACGCCTGGAGATGCTGAGGACCAAATGCAGTGCCAGGGACCGAACGGGATCAGACACGGACAAGACGAGCACCCCGCTCACTATACTACTTCTCCCACTGCTGCTTTTTGTTTGTGTGTACATGTGCACGTGTTCTTGAGTGTCTTAATGTTGTTTTGTTTTTCTCTGGTTTCTGGGCCACACCTGGTGATGCTCAGGAGTTACTCCTGGCTCTGCACTCAGGAATCACTCTTGGTGGTGCCCAGGGGACCACATAGGATGCTGGATAGAACCCAGGTTGGCCATGTGCAAGGCAAGTGCCCTAATGACTGTACTATGGCCCTGGTCACAATAGGTTTTTTCTTTCTTTCTTTCTTTTCTTTCTTTTGCCTGGCCAAGGATTGAATCTAGGAATTCACACATGCAAGGAAAGCACTCTCCCACTAAGCTATATTCTCAGTCCTAACAGCCTTCTTGAATTATAGTTTACATATCATAAAATCCACCTATATTAAGTACAGAGGTCAATGTAAATTATCACGTTTATTATACTTCCAGAATAATTCCATGCTGTTTAACTTTCACATAATAAAAACTATCTCCAAATATTTTCCCTTGAAATAGGAGTGTCTGTCTACCCTAAGAATAAATGATAAGTATATTCACATACTGCTTGGATTTGCCATTTTGTCCTCATTCTCGGTACCACATGCCTTGCTCAATGTTATAGTCCTTAAGTTTGTACCTGACAGGTCCTTTAACAGTTATGCATATTGAAAAAAATAAAAGTCATCGGGCCTTGGATGTGGCTCAGTGGTTAGAGCACTGGTCTTGCATGTGTGAGAACCTGGGTTCAATTTCTAGCACCACACAAAACAAGTAACAACAAAAAGGACAACTTTCCATCTTCATCATCAATCTGCAGGTAACCCTTCTCCTTTCTATTCTCAATGGGTTCGTGTATCCTTCTAAAATCCCAACCTGGGGCCAGGGTGGGAGCAGAGTGACTGCCGGTGTCATGCATAGGGTTCATCCCCAGCACTACAAAATAGAGGAAAATTAAATAACTAGTTTCATGATCACAAGGATTAAGTTTGGCCTAATTGCATCCTTTTTTCTTTCAGGAACTTATGTTTATAAACTCTACTTCCAGCACTTTTACCCCAAATTAAGGCAGAATCCAAAAAAATAGTAACTTACCAGTTCGTACATGAAATCTGGATCTGAACTGTTTGCTAAGAGGTCTGTGCTCATAAGAGTCTGTTCCGAAAAGGTGTGGCTTCGAAAGGCATCCCCAAAAGGCGGATCCATCCCGCTTACACTAGGCTGCAACAGAGGGATTTAATTTTAGAAAGTTAAAAACTACTTAAGGCCAATTTATTACATGTAAGCCTCACTCTCATATCCTCCAGACATTTTCAGAAAATAATTTTGAATGTTTTCAACTGTGCACTTATATTAGGACAGAAGGAAGGAAGGAAGGAAGGAAGGAAGGAAGGAAGGAAGGAAGGAAGGAGAAAAGAAAGAGGACAGGAGAGGAGGGGAGGGGAGGGGAGGCAATTGTTGACTTGATACCTAACTTATAAAAACTAAACCCGGAGGGCCATAGTGACAGTACATCATTTAGGGTGTTGCTTTGCATGCAGCCAACATGGATTTGATCTCTGGCATGCCATATGGTCTTCTGAGCACCAGGGACGATCCTTGAGCACAGAGCTAGGAGTAATCCCTGAACAACACTGGGTGTGGCCCCCAAACAAAACAAAATCAAGGCCAAACCAAAAGCCCACTAGCATCTCTACCCAAGTGTCCAAAAGAATGCCCTGCCACTCCGCGGAGCCTGCGCGGCAGCAAGTCAGTCTCCCTCCATTCTCCAGAGTCCAACCTCTTACTTCCCAAACAAGCCGGGAGGAAAGTTGGGTATCACTACTTCAGAAGAAGCCTGCAGGAATGTGAAGTTAGGATCAACAGAACAGCCAGATATCTGGTGAGCCCAGTGAGTAGGGCATGAGCTCAGTCGTCTAAGTCCTAACCCCTGGAAAGGGGATAATTCATTCAGAAATATGTAAGAGGAGTGGGGAGGATGGCTCTGGACCCCCAGCTGACCGCTCCTTCTTGCTCTCCTTCCATCACCCATCTCCATCTATGGCGGGGAGGGGTGGGCAGGGGACTGTTCCTTCCTGTTCCCATCCCTCCAAAAGTGAGTCAGGGAGCAGACTTCTAAAGGGGCCAAGCGCAGAGTAAAAGATCTTGCTGTGGAAAGTTGAGCTGGGTGAAGAGAACCAGCCATTCTGTTCAGCTTTTACAAATGTCTGCTTTTGCTTTAAAAAAAAAAGTCTATTTGTTTCTATTTCTCTAGTCAGTACTGTCTACCACAGACCTCTTCACATACTCGTCATGTTTTTCCTTCTTGGGCACTTTCTATTCCATGTTTTTCTCTTATTTTTCCCCAACCCTATTAGGCTGCAAAATGGCTCCTACAAGAAAATTTTAGCTTGAAAAAGTTAGCGTTTATAGTCCTGAAAAACATTCTATAATACCTCAAATCGGGAAAAAGCCTCAAGTGGATTTATGCACCCAGTTCCCGCGGCAGGGAGCCTGGGTCTGGGTCCTTAAACACAACGAGCAGACCTCTCTCTGCCACCGCCGCCTGCCTCCACATCACAGCACTGCAGCAAACGGCTGGGCTCAGGCCCATCGAAAGCCACCTCAGAGGCCCTGCCCTTATTTCCAGGTTTCTCCCCAGCAGCATGGGGGGGGAGGGGGGGAAGCAACCACTGGGGAGGAGCGACAGAAGTTGGCCCACACTGTTGAGTAGGGACCAACGGGGCTTCCTGTATTATTATTTAGGAGACCTCCTCAAATTAAAATGCATCAATTCAAAGTCATCACCATAATATTAATTTTCTTAGAGAGGTGTGTGTGGTGGTGGGGGAGCGTAGAGGCCTTCACCACTTCCTCTTTAAGTGCTTATAAATTAACAGGCATAGATGTTCCCTTAAACAGTTGGTAAGCATGAACAGAGGGCATATCAATGGAATTTCTGTGGCAAATTACTGGGCAGGGTGGTTGTCAAGTGAGATCTGTCCACCTTCTAACCAACTTCACTCACCAAGCTCCCAAGTCAAGATCATTAACTTCAAAGCTGTAGCGAAAGAGAAAACAGAAGCAGCGGGAAAGAGGACAGCAACTAAAGCTAGCCAAGGTCAGAGGTAAAAATGTCTTAAACGGTAGTAGGACAAGTCCCACTTAAAACTCAGAAAACTTACAGCGCCAAGGGTAGTTTCTATAGCAGAAATGTAGAAAACTCCGCACCTACTCGTGTGATTTACCTGAGGCATTTCCAAGCCCAGATCTGTGAGTCCAATTCCAAACTTCTTTCTTTTTCTCGTTTGTAAGGTTCTTTCCAGCTTTATTTTTAACTTCAAGGTGAAAGATGATTTTCACAATAAATAGCAGGTTTTCCCAGAAAGGCTTTAATTCAACTGCTTGGATCACTGCTTTGCTTTTCTTTCTTCTTTTTAACAATTCTGTGTGAGTCTGTCAAACAACACAAAGTAACTTTACTGAGCCGGGTTAAAAACAAGTTTAAAGGGAATGCCCTGAGGGGGGCGGATGGGGGAGGGATACTGGGATCCTTGGTGGTGGAAAATGGGCACGGGTGGAGGGATGGGTATTTGATCATTGTATAATTGAAACCCAAGCACAAAAATTTGTAAGTCTACAACTGTACCTCATGGTGTTTCACTAATAAAAATTTTTTAAAAAAAGAAGAAAGAAAAAAACAAGTTTGCCTTTTAGAAAGAGATTATCAAAGGACCTTTTCAGGAGTATGGATGTAATATGAGAATCTGGTCCTATTGTAGAACAAACTATTCTGAAATTCACCATTTCTCCCCTTTTTTGGTAAAACATAATTAGTTAACAACTAGTTGGCAACTTAAATATATATAAATATTCTGCAAAATTAACAAAGGAATGTCTTCTTCTGGAATCTGAAAGATGTGTTATACTTCCCTTAAAGTAAAGCGAACATTCATTTTATTCCTTGAAGAGAAAATATTTAATTCCATCAACTGTACCTCGTTACTACTCTATTTACATTGTGAGCACCCACAGAGTTCCATGACTAACGAATAAACAGTAGTCCAGAATGGAATTTAGCGTATCCTCTACATTAAATAAATCACACCCATACTCGTCTAGACATTCTTCTTAGAGTTGTAGGTGAAAACTGTCCAAGAACTAAAGATTATGACAGCAAGTTTTTAACACTTGCATGCTGAGGCAGGGAAAGGGAGTAGGGACCACTAGGCAGAGTGGTTTCAGGGTCAAATTTTAAAAGACTGCAAGTCACCCGGCATCAGGGATGTGATGTCCCTTTTAGTTCTTTTTCTCACCTCTGTGAAGACTGAAGAGCTACACTCACTTTACCTTCTCCTAGATCGGTAGCCCTCAAAGAGCGACCCATGATCAGCAGATTAGCATTACATCAACCTAGACATCTGTCAGAAATGAGGACATATATCGGGGCTGAAGCGGTAGTCCAGTAGGGAGGGCGGCAACCTGGGTTCGATCCCTGGCATCCCATACGGTCCCCCAGAGCACCAGCAGGAGTGACCCCTGAGCACAGAGCCAGGAGTGACCCCTAAGCACCTCAGTATCTGTTTTAACAATCTCTCCAAGTAATTCTGAGGCTCCTTGAATACTAAGAACCACGCAGGACAATAACTCCTGTTGTCATTTGGTCTAGATGCAATACCATCATTTTTTAGCTTAAATAAAGATGAGTTTAAGCAGAATTGCCCTCTCAAGTCAAAACATTCTTTGGGCTGATTGGTTAGAACGGCACCTTAAATCAATTTCAAACACCTCTTGCTGAACAAATAAGATCAACAAAGGAACAATACAAATGAGGAAGGCACTTGCCTTGCATGCCCCAGACCCAAGTTCGATTCCCAGCATCTCATATGGTCCCCCAAGCAGAAGGAGTAACCCCAGAGCACGATGGATGTGACCCAAAAGCAAAAGAAGCTGCTGAATGGATTCTCATTGAAAATAAAAACAAACCAACAAGGAATCAATACTTGTGCCAGTAAATTAGATGATTTGGCCCTTCCCCGAGCTGTCAGCCTTGGCGAGCCTTCCTTCCTAGGAAACACTGCCAAGCGCCCGACCTGAGTCTAGAAACAGAATGATCTATGCACCTCGGGCCAGTGCTGGAGTCCACATGGGCCGAACCCAGTTCCTGCGAAAGGCCACCTCTGGCCCTCCTCCTATCTTGGCCTGACTGCTGATGCGCAACTCAGCCCTATCTCCTCCCTGATTCTGTAAGAAACAACATCAGGCACCTTTTAGGCCTATTACGCAGACACCAGCCCCCTCCTACACCCTAGCACATGATTCAGGTCAAAGACTCAAAAAGTGAACCGGTACAGTAATCCTGATGGACAGTCTGGATGTACAAGAAAAATCTGGTCATGTTCTTGATCTGAAACTTACCCTACTTGAAACAGAGTTGGAAACTCAAGAAGAGCCTGAGCTCTATTCAAACTAAACTTGCTGGTATCTACTAAAGACACCTACGTCAACAGCTTGGTCAGGAGGAAAACACACCAAACACAAGGGGAGGAGAAATGTTCAGTGACACCTCTGGCTTGCAATCTACACCACAATTGATATATCATCTTTAAAATCTGTTTGTTTATTTTAGCGAAGGAGAGTAAGTTTTTATTTAACAAAACTTGCTTAGAAAGATGTGAGAGGAAAGAAAGGGAGGAAATGTGTACGATAGAGAACAAAGGCTTTTCTGGAGTGGAAATAAACAAGCAAAGAAACAGCAAGACAAACAAACACGGCAAGACACATGTTCAAGGGAGAATCGGGCTTGAAGAGGGAGCCTTTGTAAATCCATGTAAGCCTTACCTTTCTCCTCTCTGAAACAGTACTTTGTCCTGCTGCTGAATTTCTCAGCCGTACAAGTATTTCAAACTTTCCTTAAGCAGCTAGAGCAACAGTACAGCAGATAGCGTGTTTGCCTTGCACACGGCCAACCTGAGTTCGATCCCCAGCATCCCACAGAGTCCCTCAAGCACCACTAGGGGAAATTCCTGGGTGCTGAGCCAATTTATTTAGTTTTCAAATTCAGACCAGGAATGCGGTTCAAAAAATACCAAAAAAAAAAAAAAAAAAGGCTAAGTGGAAACCTTGCATGTAGAACCCTGGGCTCAATTCTCAGCACCACACAAAACAATTGAAAAATCAAAAATTATATTTGGCACTGGAGAGAGAGCACAGGGGTTAAGGAACATGTCTTGTCTGCAGCTGACACTGGCTCCATCTCTGGCACCACGGGCCTGAGCATCGCTGGGTACCGTAATGGACCCTGAGCACTGCTGAAATGGTCCAGGGAACTCCCAGCACAGCACCAGAGCACACCACCCCTCCGCCCTGACACTGAAACACCAGCTGCACTGGCTGAGGGTCACCAGAAGTGACCCACTTGGTCTCGGAAAATCCCTTGGGGACCCCAAGATTAAAAAAGAAGTTTATTAGGTACTTGATCTTCAAATAAATCAAACTGGCAAAAGAGCTTTTGTGTATGGAATAGAAACCTAGATCCCAGTTTTGATTCAATAATTAAAATTAAACTTCTACATAAATCAGAGCACGAGTTAAATTTATGTCTGAGCTCCCAGATCAGAGGAATTACAATTATTCTCTCTTAACTACGTGGCAGGGCTGTTATGCAGACTGACTGGGATATAAATAGAAAAGTCTCACGATGGAGACGTTACTGGGCCCGCTCGAGCAAACTGATGAACAACGGGAGGACAGTTTGTTTTTCTGACTTAAATAGAATGCAGCAATAATTCATTTTGTTTTCTGTGACAGAAAAGTTATTATTGTAATAGCCTAATAATAGAAAGATTATTATTAGCTTTACTTTTAATTTTATTTTTATTTTGGTGTTTGGCTTACAACTGCTGTGCCCAAGACTAACTCCTGACTCTGTGCTCTGGGATGCAAGGCAAGAGCCCGGACCATTGTACTAGACCATCTGCCCAAGGTTATTGTCAGCTTATCAGTAGATATTACTTAGGAATTCTTTCTTTGGACGCACAGCTACTTCTGCTCAGAAATTCTGCTTGCTAAATGTTCTACAGATAGCAATTCCCAGGGAGGGAGGGGGTGGGGGGTAGAGAAAGAGGAGAGAGAGAACAAAAAGAACACAGCTTGTTTAGCTGAGATAGTGCTGCTTCTCTTGGTCTGGCATGTAACAGCCAATAGAACGAGGGCAGGAGGGGCAATTCTCTGCCAAGCAACAGGACGCCTTTTCACTAATAAAGACTCCCAGCCTCAAATGCTAATGACCCAAGCTCACAACAAACTGCTACTTCAACATTTCACACCGTTTTCCAGACATGCCTGTTTGACCCCTGGCACTGCATATTGCCCCCAAGACCTACCAGGGGTCATCCTGTGCACAGAGCCAGGAGTAAGCTCTGAGCACAGCTGGTATGGCCAAAACACCTCCTCCACCAAAAAGAAAAGGAAGGAAGAAAGAAGAAAGGGGGAATGTCTTATGAATAAGCAGACACCGGGTCCTGTGAGCTCCAGAATCCCTGCAGCCCCCACTCTATGACACCAGCTTTTCCTGTTCCTCATTTAAAGATAGGCAGCACTTCGTTCATCCCACATTCATCAGAATCAGTGGCAAACCACTTTTCACACAACCATTAAGATGGTTATTATAGCTTAAAAAAACACAGAAAATAACAAGTGTTGGTGAGGACATAGGAAAGACAGAGCACTGCAGACTGCCGGGGAGGCTATTAAATGGAGCCGGGCTGGATGATAGCACAGTGGGTAGGACACTTGTCTTGGTGCAGCCAACCCAGGTTTAATCCCCCGCATCCCGTATGGTTTCCTGAGCACCACAAGGAGTAATTCCTGAGTACAGAGCCAGGAGTCAGCCCTGAGCACTGGTGGGTGTGACCAAATAAACAGAAACAAAAAATGGAGCTAAAAGACAAGTCTTAATGACCCAGCAGTTTCACCACTGAGCATGGGACCGAGTGGGATGAAAGCAGGGACTCCAACAGGTTCAGCAGTCAGACCGCCAAAACAGAAAACGAGACTGCAGGAATCAAAGTCAAAGAGCATACGAAAGACGGCAAACGCACAGGGAATATTTGTGAGCCTTAAAAAGTAAACACTGCAGGGACTGGAGAGATAGCACAGCGGGTAGGGCGTTTGCCTTGCACGCGGCCGACCCGGGTTCGATTCCCAGCATCCCATATGGTCCCCTGAGCACCGCCAGGAGTAACTCCTGAGTGCAGAGCCAGGAGTAACCCCTGTGCATCGCCAGGTGTGACCCAAAAAGCAAAAAAAAAAAAAAAAAGAAAAAAGAAAAAGTAAACACTGCTATGCTACAGGATATCACATGAATGTACCCTGAAAATACTATGCCAAGTAAAAAAGACACAAAAAGGAAAAAGATGTATGACCTCACTCACATGAAGTACCAGATTAGACAA